CTACTCTTTAAATGTTTGAAAAATATACGATTTCCAAACATGTTTGCTTTAAGGGCACTTTTTTTTAACTTTTATACAGTGAATAAATTTGTAATATAAAGAGTATTTTTCATATTTTTATTCAAATATTAAAATAAATAAAAATAGTAAGGTATCATTTTTCAATTTTTTTTCTTTGCATATACGAATATAATATTAAATAACTTTTAAATGTATATATTTTGGAAATTTACAGTAATTTATTCTGAAAAATAATGAACTTTCAATGAATCACAAAATACAAAATTATTTATAAATATTTTGAAAATTTAATATTTAAATCATGTCTTATCATATGAAAAGGTTTATATTTTAATATTAAGGATATTTTAAAAAAATTATTAAAAATTAAATAATGTTTTAATTGCAAGTGACTTTTACACCACACATATATATTTTTCAAGACACTAGTATTTTCAATATAGATGTTTACATTGGTTTTAAATATTTTTTAATAATTATAACGATGAAAATGTATATAGTTAGATTTATTAATTATAAAATTTGTTACTTTGTATCTATATTTTGGTATATAATAATAGAATTTATCTAAAATTTAATATAGAAAAATGCATAACTACTAAGATGAAATATTAAGAGAATTTGACTGAATAAACTATCACAGTAATAACATTTCAAATATCGTAAAAGATTAAAGTTGACAGGTGACATGTTTTTCAACGCCTCCGAAGTATGCCTACAAAATTCCAAATCCATGCACCTCGGATATGTGCATCGATTTGTCAATCTCATTTACTCTGGACAAGATTTTCCTCGAAAATAGGTGCGCAGTAATGAGATTTAGTCTTTGAAAGAGCATCATTTACGTAATACACAAGTAGCGCCATTGTAAAATGAAGTAATGCGTCGGAAAGGAAAAACGAGGGAACGTTTAGTCGTTCCACAAACGACAATGCAATTTTACGTTGCCAGCGTTTGTTTGTTTCTTTTTTTTTTTTTTTTTTTTTTTTTTTTTCTGAGGACAAGAATCAAATAGAATAAATTGTGAAATTCCGTTTATCTAGTAGAAATATAAGCACGGGCACAAAAATTAAATAATAATAACCTACACAAAGAGTAATTTACCCTGGAACGAGAGGTACTTTAAAATTACTCTCTGAAATGTTATTACGAAAAAAACAATTTTTTTTAAATATTTTACACGGTAATTATAACATACATTAGTGGTTTCATATTTTTAATTTATGTTTGACACAAATTATAAAAATATTAAGTATTTTAAAGATCATTTGTATATAATCAAGTTTAAAATGTTATATTGTACTATAAATACGTTACTCTGTGTTATGTTATATACGTAAAATAGATAAGAATGTACGGGATTTTAAAATTTAACTCACAAGTGTTGTAAATTATAACTTAATATTATCATTAAAATAATATTTTATTTAGTATCATTTTCAATTATTTTACAATTATTTATTTACAATTCTACAAGTAATTGTATAATTTTCGATGTTAGTCGAATCAATGCTTCATTATGCCAAAACATAATTAATTTAAACAATAACTGATGTATGAAGTAAAGTATAACATATGATTACGATATAAACAGACAATTGTTTAACACTATTTTTATTCTTCATTTATGACAAAGTATTTATCACAAAGTTTTTTTCCTTTCTTTCGATAAATTAATAATTTTTTTTTTAATAGTTTTACACAAATTTCGTTCGATTAATTTTTCTATAATAATTCAAATTATAGTACTAAATCAATAACAAAATAAGAAAAATAGAAACGATACTGAAATACGTATATCAGAAGACCTTTTAATTTAATTATATTTTAATAGATCGATAGATCAATAGATCAATCAATAAAGTAATTACAATAAGGCTATATAAAAAGAATTTGAAATTACAATTAGTCTTTCAATTAAATTTTTTGTTTTAATTTATTATGCTGCTCAAAGGAAAGTAAGTAAATTTACATTTAAAAATTAATCTGTATCTTTATTTATTATTTTAAATATATTATTAAATAAGAAAGTCAAAATGACGTAATAAAATTTCTATATGCAATGTAAATCTATTTACATGTAAAGTGTGATAAAAAATCTACTTGCAATACAATGAATCGAAGCTTAACGATATTTGTATATAGTAGATTTAAAATATTCAGTTACTTAAAACACTTAATAAATAATAGAGTTTGAAAATGTATGCATATTTCGTAACCATTTCAAATGAAAATGTAATATAAAATATAAATATCTTGATATTCCTTATTTTATGACGTATTCAATATAGTTCAATTCATCTTACCTATATGTAAATGATTATTTATGAAATAAAGTATAATCGAAATCTTAAAATTATTATTATTATTATTATTATTATTATTATTAGTCAAAATGAAAGTATCTAAATTTCTCAGTTTGTCAAGAGAAATTATAAACTTGAGGTCTTGACATCTTTCATGCTGTTAAAATTACTGATAAGATTGTAGAAACCATGCGCTGACTTAAAATACGTATTACGATTAATTTGAATATATGTTGTTTGAAATAAGAAATAATAATAACCGGAGAGAAAAGAAATTGTTGCTAAAAGTATTTTTTTCAATTACATGGAAAAAAGGGATATATCTATCTGAATCCGATTATTACTTTGCTTTCTCAAATATTTATTAATACCGGTAAAAAAAAAACTCGAATATTTATAAATGAAATCCGCAACTAAATATAATATCATAAACTATGAGGGATTAAAGTGTAATTGTTGTTAATTAATCTGTGAAAGTAGTTTCGATTGATCTAACTAAATATTTCTTAATCTGAGACGAATGCATTACAATACGATTATAAATTGACTGTATTGCAATTAAATGAAACCGAGTATTGTAAATAAAGATATAGAAAGATAGAGGAATATCGAATTAAATAAAATATTGTCCCACTATATTTATAAAATAATATGGAAAGTAAAGGATAATTGGCATTAAAGTTGTAGATATTTTCAAAAAATTTGTCCATATTTTCACGACGTGTATATTTGTTGAAACATTATAGAGCTGTTTTTTCCAGTTGAATGATCTTGTTCGATGACATTCTCTCCAAATGAGAAGATTACAACCTCGAGTAACAATAGAACAAAGTGACGGAGAAATTTGTCGTCCGAAAGCAAATTGAAAAACAAACGACTGAAGTAAAGCAATAAATCTATCCTTTAGCTGTTTCTGTTTTATAATGATAATTAAATAGAACTTAATTAATCATAAATTAAAGCATGTATTATAATTGTATTATAACTTAATATATAATGCAAAATGTTAAATAAAGTACAATAAATTGTATTTAGATATTAATAAATGTAATAAAAATGGTAAGCGCATGATTCATCCAGGAAACCAACAAGCTTGCTGTGCATATAAATGAAGATGCATTTAAAGGAACTTACAAAATAAATTTTTCTAAAAGTTCCTACAAATTTTAGATTTTTAAGTTTTCGTTTTTAGAGATATTAATAAAATATATATTTATTGTATGTACATTATTCGTGCATAGTATAATCTTAAATTTTTCCAAATTATAATTTCTTTTACATTAAGAAACGAAATTAATATATTCAATTACAAAACTAATTAACATAATTGTTAATTTATAAAAGTTAAAGAAAATAATAATTTATTTATGATTTTTCATTATTTATTTTTTTTTAACTGCTTAATTATTGATTGGCTTTATTTCAAATTATTAAGTCCATAATCCCAATGTAACGTATATGTGCATAATGATACATTTATTAACAAATAATAATAATAATAATAATAATAATAATAATAATAATAATGATAATAATATAGTGAATATGATAATTAAAAAAAAATTAATATTAAGTTGTAGATACAATGGTATTGCCAATATAATGATATCATTATGTTTTTATACCCATTTGCTATACTTTAAAAAAAATACTCCATAATTATACACCATAAGATAATAAAATTATCCGATTCAATTATCTTATTTAGTTATGCAGTTTAGTTCGTTTCAACATAAAAACAATCATTTCTAACAGTTATTTATAAAAAAAAATTTAATAAAAAAAAAAATAAAAAAAAAACATTCATTTATTGTCCTATACGTAAAAATTAAAATAAAACTATAAACATCGTGATGTGAGTCGACAATTAAAATAAAAAAAGGTCTTTCTACACGTAATGTACGCGTAAGGCCTACTGTTTAATACACAAAAAAAAAAAAAAAACAAAAAAAAAATTGTGTGCCCCCTTCCATTTCAAACGATAAATCGACGGATCTTAGCGACGTGCTATGTATGCACAATACACTGCCCTTCCTTCATTATCGTAAAAATTACTAAAAGGAACGTGACGGATGAGGCCCTACATGATGTTAAACAATGGTAATGCTAATGTGTGCAATAATATCATTTTAAGAACTTTAACCTATGAAGCTAATTAGGAAATTATGCTTCATACGACTCTTAAAGCATTTGTAAAATTGATATAAGGATATCATTAAACTAGAAAGTATAAATATAAATTTATAAATAGCACAGCGAAGAGTTTTATTTTAAACCCATGCTAATTTAAATGCTAACTATAAAAATTTAAAGAATTAAATTCCACTTACTATTATGTTCACAATTAAACAAGTTAAATACTTTTCTTTTGAGCATTATTGAATCGACTGATTAATATTCAAGCATCGTCTTGAGTAGTTCTTCTTTATTTAGCTTATCCAACAGATTTTATATTCGTTAATTTAAAATGAGAATATGAATGTCAATAAAAGATAAATGTTGGATTAATGATTTTGTAAGGGAATTTAAGATTTTTATGACCATACAATGTTAATGTAAAAATAGTAGTGCTTATGTTTAATTAAGTTAATTATTAATATAACCAATTAAATTTAAATAAATTTATTCGCTTAAGATTATTTATAAGGTCATTTAAAAATTTAATACACAAACCTTGAAGACCTCTGAAAAGAAGCCAGCACCAATTTTCTCAAGGTGGAAGTCATCGAGCCGATTCAAGGATGCAACGGCATGCCTAAGTGCTTGACAAGAAGCACCTGTTCGCCTTTTGTCCTGCATACAATCTCCAGCATGAGGATTAAAACTAGAAAAGTTATTATCGAGCTCTGTGGGCTTCCATGTGTCTTTACACTTTTCGCGATCCTTGTAACTTCTAGGTGACGATTGAAGCTCCGTTGGCATATTTTCCTTGTCATCGTATTTGCCATCTTTGGATGGTGTAGAGGTAGTAAAGTCCTGAGCTTCGTTAACTTGGGACTTCTGATTAATTACTAATGGCTCTAATCTAGAATTTGGAAGCATAGATGCATCTAGTTCGTCCACATCTTCGTTACTCGTTCTTCTCGCCTGATCCCTGCCAATTATTTTGTTTGCATCGACAGCTTGCGAGTCTCTGGTAGATGACAATGATTTTTTGGTACACTTTATCACTTCCCGATGATGACGATTAGTTATGAATTCAACGTTAGAGTTGCGTAATTCATAACTATTGGGGGATTTGGAAGCACTGTTGTTGGAAGTTCTCGATGCACCAGAATAACCAAGATTGGAGGAACACTTATAACCGACAGAGTTAGCCATGGAATTCACAGAACTTTTGCAACGCTGAATTTCTACGAAAGGATTCACAGCCTCTGTCCTGCAGCATCTTGCGACCTCGGATGGTTGCACATTGCAAGGAATTTCTGAGATGATGGAGGTACTATTGTTTTTGGCCCTCCATAATTTGGCTTTATCGTCGGAGGTAGCTGTTGTGCCATCCTTGGCAGCAAAGCAGGACAGGCACGATCCAGCTGGTTTTATGCAAGCCTTAGGCGATCCAGGAATATTCGGCGCAGGTACTTTTCCAAACATCTTAAAGCCAAGACCTTATTTGCCCACAAGAACGGAGCTCCAATGCAGGACTAGCAAGACCCGCATCTCGATCTGCGTTTTGCTTGAGAAAATTTTACTATTAATTCACATAAAGTTATGCGATTTCATACTTCACTATTTGGCAGTGCAAATAATTTCACCGATCTCAACAGCTACTTAAGCGTAGAGCGGAAGAACTTAAACCGACCGAGCCTCGCACGCAGCTATCGCTCTTTTGGCACCTCTGCAAATATTTCTAAGCTTCGCAGGGTGTGGAACGACTCTCATCTCACATTCGTAGAAAACGCTTGAAATTCTTCGATCAACGTATGCAATAGGAATAATCCAGCCCAGCCATCTCGGAATCTCGCAGTCGCGAAAGTACAGCGAGCATGACCAGCAAAAAGGAGTCGCTGTCACTTTTGGTAAACAAAAGCTTACGCTACACTTTAAAACCGTTAGAAATAATTAACGAGGCACAGACGGATGGGATTCGCCTAGGCGATGTCTCACCAAGGATAATAGAACAGTATTGTTCTGCCTGTTTACAAAACACGAACTCGCGCACAGTCGGTTTCATTTATTTTTTCATTTATTTGGAAGAATAGGATGGAGAGACGGAGCGAGACTAAGCGAGACGGAGAGAGACGGCGAGACGGCGTGGCTGAGTAAGGGAGGAACGGACGAAGGGACCTATGTGTACTACGTATGTACACACACGCGAGCGTACACATAGGCATATACGCGAAGGGATTGATAAGATTGTAGAAGGGAGGAGGGTGAGAGGGAGGGGAGAAAGAAAGAGAACGAGAAAGAGAAAGAGAGAGAGAGAGAGAGAGAGAGAGAGAGACAGACAGACAGACAAGAGTGCTCAAGATAGGGAACGGGCGCGCGGATGTTTCTTCGACGGGTGGCGTTTCACCAATCGAGCGAAAAGTCGAAATTAATGTGCGACGGCAATTCTATGCGCCGCGACTCGATGCGTCAATGAGCGTATTCACACATTCACCACGGCAACACCAGACAGCAGTCATTACAAGAGTGAGATGCTGCTGACTGATCCCTCCTGACCGCTCGATGCTTACTCTTCGCTGCACTGCTCCTACTACTACTGTTGCTGCTGCTGGTGCTGCTGCTGCTGCCTTACCTCACTACTCACTTGCCTGGCTTGCCTGACACAAGCGGCCACCCATAGCGCGTGTAGCTATCAACATGGCGGACGACGTGTTTCGCTCACCCACTCCTCAAGCCCAATCCACAGCGAGAGTCGCGCTCGGTCCGGCTTTCTTAAGTCTTTTCAAAATTGCCGTTGTATATCGTCGAATAATATTGTCGGTGTATCCTCCACTTTTTAAATTCGGGTAATAAAATTTGCAAAGCCCTGCCGATAATGTAGGAACTCTCCGGTATCGCTCTTATTATTATGAAGATTGAATTATTTTGTTAATTATTTCATTATGGTCGAGATTTTTTTAATAATGCCATACAAATGAAATTTGTTAAATATTCATATTAATCGTATAATGCAAAAGGGCTGGATTTCAAAATGTTTGTACAATGCGACAATTATACAGTCATCAACGTGTATTATTAAAGATAGTCCAATGTAATATCATTTCTATTAACGAAAGTATTTCAACATTTATGCATAGAGCCTAATCTACATAGAATCGATAACAATTGTTTGTACATTGAAATTCCTAAAATCTGCTTGTAAAATCGATGATTTGAAGTAACCAGTAATTAAAAAAATTGTACTCTACTACAATTTATATCGTAATTTTTGGTTTGCCTAATCAATTGTACAAAATGGATAATGATCCAAAGATTGAATAATTGGCAGAGATGCAGCAATAAATTAAATCTCGTTAAAAAAAATAAATAAAAATAAAATATAATAATAATAATTTCAAAATTTCAAAAACTTTCAATTCCAAATAAAGTACAATAACTTGCTATATAGGATGAATTTATGTAGTCTTTCAGTATAAGCATATATATATATATATATATATATATATATATATAATAGTTTTATGGTCCAAGTCGACGAAGAGCATCAACTTAAGATTAATGAGCAATTTTTTAACATTTCTAAAAATGATGATTGTTCGGCAGCATCTCACAATAAAACTGAAAATTCGGTCAAGCGGTCAGTTAAGTAAGTCCTATTTGTCAAACGCATGCTTGGTTTTCTCGAAAAAAGTCTGCTGTCAACGTATGCACAGAAGGCAACAGTAATATCAATTGTAAAATTTTCTAAAGTATGAAGAAAATAAGGCTATGTTTTTAAATTATCTATTCGTAAATTATTCTAGATTAGTGAAAGTTTCAAACGAGCTTTTCCATGAATGTGTAATAAATTACAATGTTAATTAAAAATATATATGTATATTAACCATAGGATATATATATATATATATATATATATATATATATATATCTTTTCATACGTGCAATAGACTATTACAATATTTAAACTGACCGACAAAAATAATTGTATAGATGATGCACGACGAACCATCGTAAAAAAAAAAATGAAATCCATAAGCATAAAAGCAAGTAATAATAATTTTCACTTTTGTACATTTATCATAATTTAAATAGTCAAAACATTGAAAAAAAATTGCATATAAAATTAGCTCAGCTTTAAATTACTCAAGAGGAAACATTTAATTAGATATGAATATAAATAAAATTTTTACAACTTAATTACTGATTTAAAATACTACTTAAAAATTATTTATGGATTATTGGATTTTTAAAATTGAATTTAATATTAGTAAATTATATATATAAAAAAAAAAAAAAAAATTCACAAATCTATAATCATTTTTATATTAATGCTTGATTCTAAATTAAAAAAGATTGATGATTATAAGAATTTATTATAATAAGAATTTGGACTCTAATACTTGTAAACTATTATTCTGTGAATTCACTCAACATTACCACCGATTGTTTTCAATATAGTTTTTTTTAACGTATTAACGCGTTAATTAACGAATTGAATCTCATTTTCTACAAAAGAAAGCAAGTAAGAATCTCTTCAATTACATTAAAAAAACTTTAATTAAATGCGATATTCACATCAATTATTTAAACTGAGTAAATGCCAAATTAAAAGTTAAAGAAAATTATTTTTAAACAATTTAATTCTTCGTTATAACTACTTTGATGAAGAAATATACCTTTAATTAAAACTTCTAAACTGAGCCAATTACTGTCCCATGCGAGTTACTCAATTCTAACAAAACAAAGTTTTTATTCGATTGTTTTAATAATATTACTATTTACCGTAAACGATTCTTAAAATCTTTCAAAACATTTGATAAATTGCGTTTATGTTAGTTTTTTTTTTTTTTTTTTTTGGAACTCTTATTAGAATAAATTTGTGCATAAATGATTCAAGAATGAAAATTCCATAACATTTGTGATACAAAATTTTCTAAAAATAAATATGCTTATTCCAATTAAATAATTTGTTTTAATTTCCATAATTATTCGTAGTATAATATTATAGCGATAATAGAATCCCAAATAAAAATATTCCAATTTGTATATTTATGGTATACCAAAAGCCATAAATTTAGAGCATTTCTATGACATTATTAATATTAAATGATTTATTTTATTGTAGATTAGCTAAAAACATCTTGACTATGTACGTATAAAAAATGTTATGATTTGTGTTGCATTAATGATTCTGAGAGAGTTACAAATTATTATTGTTTGGCTTTCTAATCGAATAAAACTGTTTCATTGCACTAAATTATCGATTTATCTAACATGCAAATGATATATTTATTTAAATACATTATATCAACTAATTTTAAAATATAATAAATATATTCATAATTTGATAATTATGAGTTTAACATATTATTGGAATGCATTAAAACGGTCAATGTGCTGTTATATCGAGTTTCATTGTGTCGGTAAAGCATGCATTTATTTTTAAATTAAATTTGTTTCAATACCATTGCAATAATATTAAAATCAAATTTAGTTTTTCAAAGATATAACTGTTTCCATTTAAATGAGGGAATTTTTAGAAAGTCAAGTATGTTGTGGATCTAGCTTAAATTGGAATACAAGTTTATTGCAAAACTAACGGCATACTTATCCCAACTACGCACATATCATAACATCAAAGTGTCTGTTCAACTCTTTAGCAGATGTTTCAGAAAAGTAGACGTTCTCTTATAAAATTGTGAAATTAATACTTATTAGATTATGCAGTAGATAATTGACGATTCTATTTACCTGGAGAGGTAATTTTTGAAGACTGAAGGTGGCGCTGATCTCAGGTTAGGAAAATCGAATGTTTTTGTAGAGATTCACAAGATAATCTTATAAACTTTAAAATTAAAGAATATATTGAAATCATACAATTACAATACATGTCCTTGGAAACAACTATAATTGGATTTTATTTCTTGACAAAAAAAATCAAAGTTGTAAATCATAAAGATGAAAAACTTGAGGTTAGTAAACAAATGGTAATATCATAATATAATAGTGTATTTTATATCTTTATTAAATAAACAAAATTAATTGTCATATTATGGTAATATTTATATACATGTCAGTAAAATAAATGAGATTTACTATAAATTATTTCTAAACATTAAAACTAATTTCATTAATATATTATACATGCATTTTTACTTAAAGAAAATATATTTATTGAAGATAGATCTATGTAATGTTGGTATTAAATTAAATTATAAAATTTTTTTTCAGAAAGTAAATTATTTCAAGCTTGATTACAAAGTGAAATATAATACGATCACAAATTTGTAATATTTTATCTTAAGAAATAAAATTCATTGATGAATTTTGATTATTGATACTACTTATACATTGTTAATTTGAACAGCATATTTAATAAGTGATATTCGTAACAGATAAATAGTATTCTATCAATATTAATAATTTAATTTGGATTTAAATGTATATTTAGACACGTTTTTATTTTTAGATCTAATTATGATCCATGGAGAAGTTCATTAGGTATACAAGGTGTGGCAAAGATATTGACTAATTCATTACTTCTTATTTAAGCTAAGTAAAGCAATTTGTTGATGGATGATTTAACAAAACAGTTAAACTACAAGTTTATAGATTATAGACTACATAACTGCTTTGGTTCAATAGGAAAAGTAAATAATCCTTATTTCCTGTAAGGAGAAATCTAGTCTTAAATTTGTGAATTAGTTTATTTTATAAAATGAGAAAAACTTCTTTATCGTGAAACATGAAACTGAATGATTTTTGTAAATACATAAATCAATAATTTATCAGCAAATCAAACAATATGTAAGAAATATGTTGCAATACATGGACTGTGCATATAAATACAATTTAAATAGATTTGTAAATGGATCTTATATTTCGATTTAAGAATAAAAATTAAATCATTTTGTATATTTCATGAGGAATATATTGAAAATGATTAGGTTAATAAGTACGTCATTAATCTTTATTAATAATATAGTCAATCGATCATTGAATAATAAATAATATTATATTCAAATCGAGCATGTATTAAATAATTATAGTAAATCCCTACTTTATACAGTATGACGTTAAAGGATTAAAATATCCCTATACTTTAGAAGGTAAAACTTTTATTTCTATTATCATATCTGAACTTGGGAATTTAATCTCCGAAAACTTCGGTTATCAATATAAATTTATTGACTATCGTAACTAATACGCCATTATAATAATTTTGTAAAACAAATAGTGATTACAAATTAAATTACATATATAATTAAATCGAAGTGCCTGCATTAATCATCATAAATATGAATGTACGACTTCCAAGTATCACAAGTATCGCAAAGGTAGGTAATACGTAATATTAGACTGAATAATTGCGTTACGATCAGAAACCAGACGCCGGCATTTTAAAATCTAATCAATAGTATCAATGCTAATTAAAATAATTTCAAGATCCTTTTATTTTATTCGTCCAAGGTGAGCATAAATTAAGTTTAGTCATTGCCGAGAACGAGCCCGTCAATAATCTTGAATTCGCCGAATTCGAACTTGGGGAAAAAACGAAAAATCCATAATTAAATAAACCACCAAACATTCGGGTAAAACCTTCCACACCAGGCTGGCCAATGCACGAAAATTCCCTATACCGGCAGCACTTTCTACTCCAACCGTCCAAACCTTTCGAACGTTCCGCTCCCAAAAGTCGTCTCTATTTCATTGGAAATTTGAATTCGCGAGGGCATCTTATCTTCCACGATTTACCGGCAGTCCCGGTAGCCGACATTTTCAGCTACTCATCGTAGACAGTTGCGAAGAGACCAATGGCTCGAGAAAGATCCTGCCCCCCCCCCTCCAGCGTTCGCTTTCGCGCATTTCGCTCATTCTCCGTGGCCGTGCACAAATTTGCCGAAAGGTGACTCTCCAGTCAGTCGCCGCCACCAAGAGTACACTGGCACTAGAGAACGAACAACTCGCGCACGGATACACGCGCGCAGCCCTCGGAAAAAGAGACTTGCCCCGTCGCCCGTCGGACGCACGGTCGTACCCATACACGCTTGGAGCCGCCCGCCATAGCGTCTATCTCATGCTAACGCACGACGAGTCCTCGACGACCCCCCGCGTCTCGTCGCTCGCCACACGTGTGTGAGTCAGAGCGAGGGAGAGTGAGAGAGAGAGAGAGAGAGAGAGAGAGAGAGAGAGAGAGAGAGGGAGCGAGCGCGCGCGCGCCCCCGGGGGCTCGTCCACTTCGGCGCTTGTGTGTTAGTGTTGCTCGGGAGACGGGAGTAGCGGGAGTCGGGAATCGGGAGTCGGGAGCTGAGTGAAGCCGAGTCGAGTCGAGTTGAGCGGACGCCGAGTGCGGGAGGAAAGAGGAACGCGACTCGAGCGACTGGTAGTTATGAGGAGCCGCGACGGCGAGGCCCACCTCCAGGCCGTTGGCCCGCTCCTCTGATCGTGGCAGCGCGTCTGCGCGCGGAGCGGATACAGCCGATCTCGGAGGCAGCCGACGAGGTACGCGCACCGGGTGATAAATAGTCCAGGGCCGCGCGCCGCGCGCGACTCCAGCCAGCTCCGGACGGCGGCGTTGCGCCGTGACACGTAGTCGTCGGTTCGCGCGCAAGTTATCTGCTTGCCCTCCGTGCACATGCTGCTGCGGTGCGAGCCACGGGAGGCTGGATGTCGGCGAGCCACGGGGAAGACGATGCAACAGCGTCAACGACGACGACGCCTCCGTCATCGACGTTTCTCGGGCAGCAGCGACAGCGGCGGCAGCAGAAGTGCCGAGCGAGGTAGGCATCGGCCGCTAAAGTACTTTTATCATTGTCTGCGTGCCGCGTTTCGACTGTCGTCCGAGCACTACCTTCGGTCCCCCGTGTCGTCTACCCCTTTGCGTATTCCTCTCTAGCCTGTGTGCGTGCGGGCGTGCGTGCGTGCGTGCGTGCATGCGTCCGTGCGTACAAGCGTGCGTGAGCTCGTTCGCTCGCGTTTGTGTGCGCCCGTGGGTTAATGCGTGCCTGTCTGACTGTCTGTCTCTGCCCGCTTACTCGAGAGTGCTTGTGTCGCTTGTCTACGGTATATTTCTGTATTTCGTGTAGGATAGCTTCTCGAGACCCTTAGTCCCTGCGGAAATTCAATAAAGAAGACTTAGTCGAATTATCGTCTCTTAGGCGTCTTCTACACACGGCCTTTTCTGGCCTTTGCCAATTAAATTTACTGCTCGAAATACGGTATCTTATACAGCGTGTCTGTAAAAACGAGGAGTCTGCGTGCTTTATCATTTAATAGGTGATTTTATCTTCTCGTGTTCTGTCTTCATTCTCGCTATAGTTCTGTTTCTTCGATGCACACGCACACACGCTCACGCATAATATGCGCATGCATACTTTTCCAATGACTACGAGCGCGCGCGCACACGCACAACTGTGTATACCTATACAATATATGTATACATAAATTCATATCCATGCGTACGTGCTCGCACGTATATATACTACAATATGTATATATATATATATATATATATATATATAATATCAATCGTGTTTGTGTCGGTACGTTCCTTTCGCGACAAGACTCCTCCACAGTCGCTGTTTTGTGGGTTCACCGTTTTTCCATTATGTGAAACGTGTGTAATAATGTAACGGTACTTTCACGCACTATGTTTTACATGTACTTATGCTTTATCAATTTAGTTATCATAGAAAGAATCTTTTTTTTCTATTGTGTAATAAAAAGTAAAAGTTAAATCAATTATCATTATACTTACGGTAATAAGTCACGAGCTAATATAAAAGTTAAAATTCCTATTTTTTTTTTATTCCGATTATATAAAGAAAATATAAATAATTGTTATGCATTCGTCTTGAAAGTAAATATGCGGTAAAAATTTAGATTAACGGTTCGTTCGAGTGTCTTGTCAGAAATAATCCATTATTGATTATATCGTACAATAAATGAATGAAATAAAATATTTATATTTGTAAATTAAATATACTATAGATTATGTAAGCAGAGTGAATGTTTACATTTGAAAATTTTATTTTTATATCAATTTAGTGCTTGCATTTTATGAAAATTTGTCCTTATATTTTCAACTTGGTTGTATAAATGAGTAGAGTTAACAGTTTTCTTCAATTACTATTTTATTTTTATTTATATATTATGTACATCGTTCATAATTTACGAATATAATTTTTACAACTTGTGCGCTTTTATAATTCCAAATGTAATTAAATTGTTGGCTTAAACATAATATTATACTTACAAAAATATTTAAAAATTGTATTATTATATTAAAAAGTCGTTTGACAAAGACGCATTGTCTTTAAAAAATATAAATTTTGGTACTTTTCAGATCAATTTATTTATTTTCCTAAATTAATGTTTAAAATTAATGGTTTAGAGCGATTTGTAGATGTGATGTACACATAAATTATTTCAATCATATTTCATATTATTATTTGTGATTTCATTAGAGAAATAAAAATTTTTAAATTTTAAATACTACAATATTTTCTGCTTAACGCTTGCTGTAATTAATTTATTTATCTATACGAGTAAATATAATTAAAGCTATTATCTTTAAAATATTACCATTACATAATCGTATTAATTATGGCATTAATAGTGTTATGACATTATATGACGTTATTTAATAAATAAAAATAATTCTACACACATTTCATTAATAATTCAATTTCATTTTTGCTAGATTTAATAGACGTTGTTTGCCTCTTTATAAAATACATTTGCACTTTGATATTTTTTATTATTTTTGTAGATAAAATAATACTTCAATTCCATGTCTTATGTGCATTTGTTTCGTGAAATTAAATGAAAGTTATTGAATGATTTACATTAATTGTTGAAGTAATTTATCCAAATCATAAACGCCATTTATTACACATATTTATGTCAATAGCTTGTTAAGTAAAGAGATCAAGGAAAAATGAGAGTTATTTTTCCATGTTTGTAGATCATAATGTTTTATGATTATAATTGCAAAATTTCTTTATCGTGAAAAATAATTAAAATATGTTTCAATGCAAGTATTTATTAATGTTTTAAATGAAATTTTTTTTAATCCCAAAATGTATCAATAATTATGCGTTGAACCAAATATGAATCGAAGAATAATTAGAATTTAATTTAGGCTATTCTAATTTTAACTAGTCTATTAATTAATTTGATAGATATGCGTAAAATAATAATAAATGATAATTGTAATGATTTCTACTTATAATTAAAAATTTTTAAATATACGTACAATATTTAACAGCATAGTCAAATTCTTTTTACACATTGTAAATATTTTAAAGCGTAAATATCAATCTCTGCAGAAATTTTTTTATAAATCTAATTATGTATACAAAACGTAAAATTATTATTTCCATCGTTTTAGTTATTTCTTTCGATTATCTTAATATATTGAATAGATGACGTTAATAATTTATTGCGTATGTTTTACCGAGATTCGAGTTACTAAGAGCCTTAGCAATAAAATTGACTGGCCCGTCATTTAATAATTAAGAGTCCGTAAGTTATAAATTCGTTGTCGTTCGAAAAGTATCGCCATACAAATAAGGCATAAATTGCCCACTCGATTTGATATTTTCAACGATAAGCGATCATTCGCTTCAATTTCAGCAACTTCGCCTTTTCTCCTCCCAGCCCGTCGTCGATTCGTTATCAAATGCCCGTAATCACAGTATGCAAGAATCTTCTAAAAAAAATACAGACTAATAGCATTCGTTACTCACTCTACTTTACAAAACACTAATAACACTAATGAAAATCCTTAATTATTCGCTTGCTGCGATATTGATACAGTCCTGGTGAATTCTGGTCTCGCCTCATTTGAATTATCAACTTTAAGGAGCGCGCGCGCGCGCAAATACATGGAAGCCTCGGAAAATTCTATTCCTGGAGAACGCGAGGTGAGATGCGATTAAAGCTTGCGCTCCTTCGACGCACACCCGGCATTATCGCGTCATGTACTTCCTGCGTGCATACGCTCGTTCTTTTCTCCATCTCTCTTTCTCTGTATCTCTTGGACTCTTTTAGTTTTTCTCACGATTGATTCGTCCTCGACTGAGCCGTAGTTACTACACTCCGAGCCGACTTATGCACGTTATGCGCGCGCACGGTGTCTGTCCCGATATCGTTGCACATCGCTTTCCTCGCGCCTCGGAGGCTGTCAGATGCACAAGGTACTGGATCGACGTATACGAGCGAGACAGAGAGAGAGAGAGAGAGAGAGGAGCGGCGAGAAGCCGGTGGCGTGCGCGTTGCGCGAACGATGACATTTCGAGTCAGCGCCGAATCGTGACACTCCGAGTGTGGAGTTGATTGCGTTGGGTGAAAGAAGACAATGGGTCCCGCGCTTAGACGCAAGGACATGCGAACGATCTTACGTGTGATAAGTGTCTTGTGAGCGAGGAACACTCGACGAAGTTAATAGAAGGAAGGCCGGGTTACTAGAGTATGTTACCATTGGTGTTATCCAAGTCTTGGCTTAGTGAGAATTAGTCGCACTAATTATTGCATTGGTGAAATCTGCTCCCATATAGGGTGAACTTTGAAAGGAATGGAGCTTGCTTCCTTTTGTTAGTAGTATACTGCTTTTCGCACTTATGTATTACTGTACGATGTATAACTAGAATAGTGCTCTCTTGTATTATAATGAATTGCTCTTAATGGCAGCTTCAGCTTTTATCTTTTTACAATTAAATTTTGGAAAGTCTAGTGGTATGCTATTGTCTAATGAAGTAATACTTGCTTCGTCACTACTGTTTGGGCCAGTGCGAAGTGTTTTTTGTAAAATACAATTCAGTGTATATCGGCATTTTAATCAATAGTATAAAAATATCTGTCCAAAAAAAAATCAATATAAAAACTAAATGAAAAAAAAATAAATACATAAATCTAGCTTTCATTGAAGTGATCGGGTAATTTTTTTTTTTTGTTTAACATATTTAACAAATGCTTAAATGTTTAAGATGCGATCATAAGCTACAATTTTACCAATTTTTCAATTTTTCTTTAAGTATTATAGATTAGATAATAGGTTTGTTAATATATGTGTTTAGATGCTGAAAAAGAATGATTAATATAAAATTAATTCTAAAGTAAATATGTTTGAAATTATGAAAAGTAAAGTTTTATGTAAAATTTTTAAACTATTGAAGATTGTTGATTATCGACTTATTTATAACTTATTCGATTTGCTTATCAATAAATATAATCTTTTGCAATGATGATTATTCAATTAATTATAAAGAAAGTTTCATTTTTATATATTTAAAAAAATTTTTTTTTACCACATTAATGATTCTTTTCAATATTGATTTTATAATACATTATATATTATTACACAATATATTCGTTATTATCTTTAAATTTTTTTTACCACATTAATGATTATTTTCAATATTCAATACATTATATATTATTACACAATATATTCGTTATTATCTTTAATATCGTAATTATTTTTAATACAAAATACGTCATTTATTGTCAAACATGAGAAGTGCCAATTCATTATTATCTAAAGTATTGATGTCGTACTTTTTTTCTTGACGTTGTCAGAAATTAGAACTGATATACCGTTACGAAAATATTGTATCTGAGAACTAATAAAATAACTGCAGTGGTATCGAAGTTTCCTATTTATAATGATTAGATATTGTCCATTTCACAGATTTTAATGTAATTAAATATCATGGAGATTTAATGTAAATTGGAATTATGGACAATTTTTATGAAACATTTTCATTCGTTAAGAAATCGAATAACAACATAATTGTTATATTATAATATTTTCGATATTTTATTAGCTATATATAAACATTATATCTGCGTAAATGTATATTATTCTTAAATTATGTTAACTTTTTAATTTAAATTTCTATCTTGATATTTTTGCAGCTTTACAAATTGGAGTAAAAGTGAATATGATATTGTATTTAAAAAAAACTTTTTTTATATTAAAATAAGAATGATGTGAATAAACATGATGAAGATTATACAATAAAAAAAGTATGATTTAAATAAAATATGAAAAAATATGAATTCGATAAATCATATTTTATGTGCGAAGTAATTATATTGATTTGAATTAAAATAAAATTTTAATTGTATAAAAATTTATGTTATTAAATTTCGTTGAAATAATTAAGAAAAAAACGAAAGGAAAATTTTTATTAATAAATTGACATATTATCGATAGATGATTTTACGAAACATTTCTCATATGAAGTTTGGAAATTCAACATACATGTTATACTTAAATTTAATACTAATTAATCTTAATATTAAGTTAAAAATAAATTATATTTATATTAAATTAAAAGAGCTTATGTTAACGTAAATGATTTTGAATGTCAATATTTGATATCGTATATTAATTTAGAATAAACCAATACAGAAATGTATACGATAATATTATCATCGTTACCGTAAATTGTAATCTGCTATAATTAAATAAAAATCTTATAAAAGTAAATTATTATCTGCAATATTGTAATCTTCACAAGCAGAAAAAATCGCAAAAATTTTTATTCGATCGACTTGCCTCGCCCGGATCTGCGCTCTAATTCCAAATCTCGTTCTCAATCCTCCGCTTTTATTTTTCAACTTTTATGCACCGTCTGTGTCTACATTGCGAAAATGCGTCTTTGATTTTAGCATAAGCATGCTTTTCGTCAATTTTTTAATGCGGAAGGAGAGCAACTCACGATATTTAGAGATCCCTATGAGAATAAGATACTTCAAAGCTTCCATCTGCGGCTACGCGCAAGTCGACTGTTGTCCCAAATATGAATGAGAATATTCTGAGTTAACCCATTATGAGTAGTAGAAGTGAAGTTTGCAAATATTTCAGATTAATTAATACATTTATCATAAAGCTTTTAGTAATACTATTAGTTAGACTAATTATTGTGTATAAATTGTTTTTATATAGCCGAACATTTTATTTATGCTTCTTACAATACAAATTCATTTATAAATATGGTTTAATTAATGAAAATGCTTTTAATTTACAGTCCAATTCTATAAATATCGTATTGTTAAAGATGTGAAAGTTTACGAAACAAAATTTTTTGTTTTTATTTGTTATTATTATGTCTTAAATTCTTTTTATAATACATTTGTTCAAATTAATTGGAAAAAGTTAAGAAGTAAAAATTGTTAAATAAGGAAAAAGTTTTATACAATATTATTATTTTAGCAACACGGAAGTAAATTATTTTTAATAGCAAGATATTGAAAGTTATAGAACAATTGTAGTATTTTGTTACAAAATGTTTATATATATATATATATATATATATATATATATATATATATTGGTTATTTGTCGTTATGTAGAGAAATAATGAAAAATCATTTTAATCAGAATTAATAATATTAATTATTAGAATTTATTATTATTTGGATAGATACTACTCGATTTTATAATTTTAATACTCTAAAATAGTATTTAAATGATGTATTTTAAAAGTGTAATGCTGATTTCCGTTTGTATTACGTTAATTGGTTTTATATGCATTTTCAAGCAATTGAGAAAATTTCTAAAAAAATATTGTAAAAATTTTTAATTATTTATATGTATACGAACAAATATTGAAATAGTCACGTCCCTTGGTTATTGAAGAAGTTTTGCAAAGTATTAAAGTTTTGTATCGATTTTTTTAAGCAAAGTAGGAAATTAACACTCCCATTATCGCGTCAATCGCCATTCGGAATAATTAAAAATTGAAAACATTGATGGAAATCGAGTCGTGAAATATTTCAAAATCTTTTTCGCACGTCAATAAAACGCGTCATTTCGAAAGACCTAAATCCCAATGATTGTACATTTGCCTATACAAATGGTCCGTTTATATCGCTATGAAATTTCTCAATGCCAGTTGAAATGTCGCTTAGAGTTCTGGCAAACTCATATCCCCGCTAATATCGAAGAAAGAGCATTAAAAGGATTCTTGAAAGGGCGAAGAATTTATCGAATGTTAAGCTATGAAACAGGTTCGTCCGTGCTCGTGTGATCCTTTTTCCACTCCTCTTTTTTATTTTCATTACATTCAATGAATTCTGGAAAAGGAATGGTGGCTCGCTCTTCTTATAGTATTTCGATCGAAACTAGTGGCGAAATGTGTGCGTCCAGGCTGAAACTTTAAGTGAATGTGGAGAAATAGAGTTTCTATATAGGAGAGTAATTGAGTTTGCTTTGTTGGGGCGCACTGTTCGATTACAGCTGGGGAATTGCTCTCTTAAGCCGCGAATTAAGTGCTTTTCACAGGGAGTTTAAAAGTGCTTGGCGATACTACCTCTGCCGTTGTTTTGCCAACACCTTTATTCTCCGTATTTCATCTAGATCTGTCGAAAAGTTTTCATTATTGTCAATTACTGCAGAGAATTTATATGCTCGTGCGTACAAAAGAGAGTTTACGCGTTGCTAACTACATGGTAAGGACATTTGATGTGAAACTAATTATTCCAACTAGAAACTAATCACTATGAAATATATGAAATAGCCTAAAGAATAGTTAACAAGTATCAAAAATCCTTACTAATGAAATAAATGAATGAAATTTATTTATACAATTTTATTAATTGATTTAAATAATTCATTACAAATACATAGTTAAAATAATATTTGATGCTCATTTTTCATGAAGATTTACAATTGATAGCAATTATTAAATAATATTTCTAATTTACCGCTCTCATAGTCGAAAATATTATTTCTTTAATGCTTATAAAATAAAAAAAAAATAGTCTACGCACAAAATCTACATTATAATAGTGCTTTATATTCATAAGATAATAACAGTAAATTTAACGGCTACTTTAATCATTACGGTTCGACTTGTCCGCTAAGTATTAATTATTAATAGCGAATACTTATAAGTGACAAGACAAACTCCTTTACCTTAGGAATATTAATATTTTTTCTCGTTCGTATATAATGAAATGTGATTTGAAGAAATCATTTTAAAAAATGTATTTATAAATTTCTTAATATTTTACTTTGTGAATTTTACTTTAAACTAACAATATGCTACAACGTAAAAAAAAATTGTTTTTTTTCTCTCTTTTTTTTTAAGCTCTACTTATCATTTTATTATTAATTTCTACTTACATTGCTAATACATTGTTATCCATATACATTGTTATTATTAGAAATGTATTACGTGTGAGTTTATATTTTGTTTAATTAAAGTCAAATTATTGGCAAATCCAAATTTATGAAATATACATAAGGTAAAGTGAGATTCGCATAAACTTTTAAATTAGTATATAGAATGCCGAAAGCTAATGCCCGTTGATGAGTTTTATTTCAAATTAATTATATCATATTACGTGTATTTACTTTCTAACGAAATCGTATAATTAAAATAAAAAGTTGCTTTCATAACAATAAATATAAATGCACCGTACATGTTCTGATAATATAATAAATATGATATTTTTTCAATTTGAATATGAGAAAGAGCATTTCGTAATAGAATATATTATGCTGTATGTATTTCTTAACTGTTCTTTTAATTAAATTAAAAAAAAAAAAAAAGAAAAAAAAAGAAAAAAAGAAAGAAAGAAAGAAAAAAAGTTGCATAGCAATAAATTCGGGGATTTTTTACATTCTCTTAATCAAGCTATAAGAAACAATAATTCACATTAAGCATATTGATTTATCCATTTAGGAGGGCCAGGTAAAATAATCAATACTCATTTCATTAGAATACGAGATAATCATGAACAATGTAAGCTACGACAGGAGTTTGATTAAACAAGAAAATTGTGAAAACCAATGTCAACTGTTAGTGTCCAACTCCTCGATAATACTATTTATTAACTTATGCAATTTCCATCTGCTTTTCAGATTTGAGTGATACCAAGTGACAATAAATATGGACAGCCTGCGGCCGCTGATAACGAAGATGGATGTTATCCGTGCAGCCGAGGTTCTGCCCCTGTTACAGGAGCGTCTGGCCATATTACCGGGCGGACGCGACCGTCGCGGGGGCCTCCTTCTGCTGTTCCCGACGACGGCGAGACGCGAGCGAGCCAAACCTGAGGACTACCGACGACTCCTTCAGTACCTATTGGCCATTCCCAACGACGAGGACCGAGGTTTGCGTTTCACCGTTGTCGTTGACATGCGCGGCACCACCTGGGACTCCGTCAAGCCTATACTCAAGGTAATCCACGTAGGTCATCTCGACCATTCACTAACGCACTTGCTTTAAGCATAAATTCACTTTTATATAATTCAATAAAATTTATGCTAATTTCTCCACTTCCTGAAAAAGGATGTAAAAAATTAGAGTTTCGTCCTGATCACTTGCCGCGATGTAAATATATATCTAAAGTAAACAAAAAATTAATTCTTTATTATTGTTATTGTTTTGAAATTTGTAACCAAAACAAATTTAAGAAATTCGTTACGCGCTTAAAAAGTTATTGTCCGCAGTAGCTGTACAAGAAAAACACTGAATTCAGATAAATTTTTTGCTCACTCTTGTAGCAATCTTGGGTCTTTTAGAACAAAAATTGTATTAAGTATATTGTTTTACTAAACAACACAAAGACAGTGATTTCAGCAGAATTGTCAAATGCAAAAGATAAGTTTCTTTATGAATATATAAGATAAGGATATAAAGTTTTGCTGATTTTGTACAGCTTTCTAAAGACTATCAAAATATTTATTTAGGTTTAGTACTTAAATTTAAAAATGGCGGATCCATTCGAATGAATTATGTAAATAGAATTTGACGCACTGTAGTGCATACGTAGCTTTTGGCATCTATAAGAAAAGTCGAAATATTCCAGTAGCCAAAATATTCTTACAAATGCTGCAATCATTTGAATGCAATATATAATTTTATATACGATTGTCGCTTCCTAGAGTTTCGACAAACAAATCAATATTCTACATATACTTAACATATTGTAACAAAATTATTTAATTTATATGTAATAAATACATTTTTATAAATATGAAAATTTAAACTCCTACTTGAAACATAAATTAAATTTCACGAGTATTATATTGCAGCTAGTGAATAAATCAGTTACTGTAGCAGACTTTTATAAATGATAAAGGATTTCTGTAGTATAATAAAATGTTCGTAATTCTATAAATTATGAAATTTCTACGCAGACCTTGAATGAATAAAGATTTATAAACCTTTCAAGCTATCAATCACCGTTGAATGTATAATCCAGAAACGAAAAGAATTATTTTCAAATTATAAATTTATCATACTTTTAATTATAAAATAACGATCTAATTTATTGATTATCTCGAATTTGCATATATCAGCATTAACTCTTTTCTTAATGACCTTTTCTACAGGTACTGCACGACCACTTCCACCACTCTGTCTACATAGCCTTCCTGATAAAGCCGGAGAACTTTTGGCAGAAACAAAGGACTTCGTTGGCCAAACAGAAGAAGTACAACTTTGAGGTAAATGGGAACAATCGATATATACATGTGGCTCTAAATGCCGCAAATGTAGGTGTGTGTATTGTACTAATAGTGCAGTCTCAGTGAATAAGTCTGGCCTAGTTTTTTATCACGTAGTTGAAATTATATGTACGTGTATAAAGCTGTTTGTCGTATTCCCTGAAGCAACGTGATGAGAACATGGACATTGTTTTTATGAGTGCATACATTAGTGTATAAGTGGTTGTCAGTCGGGTGGATCCGAAATAAAATGAACGAGCGTGAGGGCGACCCCCGAGAATAGCTATCGATGTTTTTCGACCACCTATCTGCCTTTGTGGAGTAGATATTCGTCTCGTTTGGGTGATTTAATGCAATCTCCTCTGTTCGGTTAACTGAAAGACGAACAACAAAAAATCGTGGATATTTCTATCTAAGCATCATTCGCAAGGGATTACATAAAAATTGATTTTGTTTCAAACAATCGCATTAACCACGGATAATCGAAAATTCAAACTTTAATTTTTAATATTGTACTCTATAAACATTTTACTTAATTTTAAAATACAAATATTCCAATCTATTTTACTGTGACTGTATAAGAAAGCTTTTTGTAATAAATTCGTTGGCTTTATAGTTTACAAAGTTTGTATGACTGAAATTAATGTCTAATCCAATTAAATAAATATCTACTATAGTCAATTTTAATAAAATATTCTACGTAGTTGCTAAAAGAATTATAATAATTACACTAATATGTAATATTTTATTAATAACAAAAATAAAATTGCTTCATTTAATTTCGGAGTCTTATTACATTGGTAGCATTATAAACGAAGCTGCACATAAATACTTCATTTGCGACGTTTTACAAATTTTGTTGAGTCAATTACAAACTTACTTAAAAAAATTCTCTCAACATCTGTATAACTTTGCAAATGAGAAATGAAAAATATTTCAATATAGATATTTAAGATGGGCTCGCGTCTTACTTAATAAAATTAAAGGTTAAACTAGTGTCCCGTAGCATTAACGTAGAATTCTTAATTTTCAGATTAATACAGTAAATTTCGAAGCGCTAGTTAGAAATATAGACCCTTCGCAATTAACTACAGACTTGGATGGCTCTCTTCAGTACGACCATGCCCAGTGGATTGATATTCGTGTAGCTGTAGAAGACTTCACTTGGCAGGTCAGTGACCTACTCGATAGACTAGATGATTTACAAGAGGATCTTAGTCGTAATGATTTCGCTGACGATGTCGGAGGAGCGAAGCATGGCATAGATCTTCATAACGACATGAAGAAGAAAATAATGAAAGTTCCAGTTGAAGGTGCCTACAGTTTTCAAATAATTTGTTCATACGCAGAGTAAATAATACATTAGAAGATATTATGCTAAAATGCTTACACTGATAACTATTTCAAATATCCTGAAGAATTCACGCATAAATACATAAAAGACTACTTTGAATTATTTTAATTATCGATTTTGATTTATGCTTAGTGTTTACTGTTTTATAAATAAATTCAGTTCGAACTCCAATCACTTATTTTCATTATCAATTAACTAATTTTACATTATCTTTCGTTGTGATTAAATTTTAAAAATTGAATATTCATTAATAAGAAAGTTATGTTAAATGATTCAATAAGTTATTTTTAATTATTTTTCTTTATCTTGTGTTATATAATAAAGCTGATTACTCTATTATGTACATTGAAGTTTGTAGTGTTTACTACACATTTTTAATTTGATTATTTATTGAATGAAGCAATTGATGGAAAACTAAGAAAAATAAAAATAAAAATATTTTTACAAGTAATTCTCCGTATTATAAAGTATTGATTTAAATTCATTAATTAAGATAAATTTAAGTCGCATAATTATTATTCTTAATTTTCATATTTTAAAAGTTTGGATTGGAATGTATAATGTCTTAAGCAATTTCTTAACTAATCAGAATAAAATACCATTTAGTTTTAATGAATTTGGATGTGTAAAACATTTTACTTGTAGATGTTGGAGTTGTCGGCAATCGTCTCTTACAACGTTTCAACATAAATGTAAATGGTAGTGATGAGAGTGGTAGTGTAGAATCAGGAGCAACGGGTGGATCAGAGTCCGACGGCAGAGACATAGCAAACCTCGTCATACAGCATCTCGACTCTGTCAACGCTGCCCAACAGCATTTATTGCAATTATGGCATATTAAAAAAATTAAGCTTGAACAATGTTTCCAGCTAAGGTTATTTGAACAAGATTGTGAAAAAATGTTTGAATGGATATGCCATAATCGCGAGAACTTTTTAGCTAATTACGTAGAAATTGGACGGTCCTACCAACTAGGCAAGTCTTTTTTAAATTAACGATCGATCTATCTATTCCGAGATATTCGTTTTATTTTAGAAACTCGATCCTAGTGTGAAATATTAAAAAAAAAAATAATAATCCAATTATTTGAAATCATGTAATAATTAACATCACTGCCTATATTTATTCATATAATGCATTTGAGTGGAGTTACTTTAAATGTAATTTAATATGAAACCGAAGTAGATTTTTCATATTTTTTTTACTGATTATAATGTTTATCGTTAAAATATAGTTTAACCGCGATATTACATACATTCAAATACGTGATTTTTAATTTGTAAAAGAAAAAAGCGTAAACATTTCTCAATGATACATATTCTGAAAATATTGATATACCTACAAAAGGAAGTCACACGCTTGGCTATAAATAATTCTTATCCTATCTTTCATTGTTTTGTATTTTATAAATGTAGCGAAGAGTCTTCAGGAGGAGCATAAACATTTCGCCATGAATTCAATGAATATGTACGTAAATATCAACAAAATCCTGACGATGGCGGGCCGTCTCCTCGAGACTCAGCATTATGCGGCAGGCCATGTGCGCGCTGTAGCCGGTCGCCTCGATCGCGCTTGGAAAGAATTTGCTGCGGGTCTGGATGAACGTACGGCTGTTTTGGGACTGAGCGTTGTGTTCCATCACAAGGCCGAGCAATACGTGGACAGTGTAACTGGTTGGAGTCAGGCTTGTGATGCCACCAATCTACCTAGCGAGATACCGGTTCTCGAGTTGCATATCAGACAACATCAGACACTGTACGAAGCCATGTGCCAGGCTTACACAGAGGTAATTTATATCATTTTAAACGGGCATCATTTTACCTACCAACACGCCAAACGTGCGCTTGCGACTAGTACAGAAAACAAAGAAAGGATGTTTGTAAGTTATTATTATTATTATTATTTTTTTTTTTTTTTTTTTTTTTTTATGGTAGTTGAATCCTTCGGAATCGTAGTGAAATAATTAATCAGTTATTGCTACATTTGCATAAAATATATTATGGTTCTTCAACACATGTTTTTTAGATAGCTCATTAATAATTAAGTTAAAAGTTTGAAGAGCAGTGTACAGATTATTTAAAAATATTTCTAATAAAATTAGATTATAAATTTAGATTGTAGAAAGTAAAATTTGATATACCGCACGCATACACACTTACACACACCACGATTGCGTTCAAATCAGTGAGTATTTAAAAATTTATTTGCACTCAATATTATACCGAATATTGCTATATATTTATAAACAGATGTTTTTAATACAATTGGACTTTTTAATACTTAACAAATTAGAATGATTTTTTTCGTTAAATTTAAATTAGCACCATTTTTAATTACTATTATTATATACTATAATTACTATAATTTTTAATGAAATGTACATATTTTCGCCCAATTTAATAAACTTATTTCAAAAGAAATTAGTTTGCTACGATTCGGTAGGATCAATATTATAAATTTTTAATTTCATAGTAATATATAGTTATTTAGTTAATGTGTAATAACAAGCATACGATAGTAATAACACGAATATCAGGTATACATTTACGCTATATATATATATATATATATATATATATATATAAACAAAATTTTAAATAGAAAGCAATTATCGAAAGCGTAGATACGGGTATTTATTTTCAACGTTATAACTTTCCGATAGTAATTATAATCAGATTGAATTTCTTTCAAAACTTAATATCATATTATTTATAACAATTTTGAATGGATGTTACTAAACATTTTAATGCTAATAAAATTAATTAATATTGTACCACCTGAACTAAAAGATCTTTAGCTTAACTAAATAAAGCTCATTGTTAAATCGAGAATTAGTTAGGTTTCATACATATTTATCATAGCTTAAATTTTCAAAGATTAACACATAATACTTTATGCTGCAAATGAAAACTTTATGTGGAAATATTAATTTCGAAATATATGACTGTTACGTTATCACAAAGTGTATCGTGAATTTATACGTTTTGCTTTGGGATATTCTGTACTGCTTGGAATTATCATTATTTAATTGGATATTTTCGTGTTCTTACATTCTTTGAATTATTTCTCTATATTAAATGAAAATGAATCTATTAAATGTAATATTAACGTTTAAAGGCATTTATGTATCTTTTACATTATTGAATTTCATCGCTGTGTTTCTAAGTAATTCATACAAATGGATTTGAGTACTTTAATTTATTTTTTCTCCGAATAATAATCAGTTAACGAGCCATTCGGCTGATTAAATTTTAAATTGTAATTTTTGTCATTTGAAATAAAAAAAGGATTGCTCTTGACAAAAAATATAAATCTATGTAAGTTAATTAAATTTGCACATAGATGGGTTGTAGTTAAGTGATGTAGATACTTTTAATGTAAATACGTATAAATAATTAATTGTCGAATTTGTACGTTAAGAATTATAGTTAATAAACCATATACCTGTATCGATAAACTTTCTATTAAAATCATTGAGAGAAGATTGAATATTAAATTATCGAACGCAGTTTGAAAAATTGTTTTAAAAATTCATGAAACTATCCAATTCACATGTAAGCGGTAATAATTATTGACTTACGTTCCTACAGGTTTATAATGCATATCAATCATTATTGAGTGGACTAGGCAAGATGTTACAAGTTTGTCACAGCGCGAGCGCAACCATTGTCTCGGACAACTTTCGTGATGATTATGTACGATTCATTATTTGGTTATCATTATTTTTTAAATGATAGTTTTTAGCAAACAATAAAATAAATAATGAAATATTAATGCTAACATGGTGTCTGGGTAAAATGGCGAAAGTCTACTATGCTCGAGCGTTAGGAAAAGGCAATAATAACTGTATGAGGCAAATATAACTAAACTACCTTATTTCAGGATCATATAGATAGTTTTGGTGTCTTAAATAAAAATCTGGGTATTTATATATGTTATTTACATCTATTGTATCACGTAATATACTTCAATGGTTGCGCAAATAAAACTGAGGTGTATCAGTCAGTGCTTTAGATACTAATAAATACACAGATTTATAAATAAACATAATTGAGGATTTGAGAAGAATTTTTATTATTTTTTTATTGTTTATATATTTTACCAAATCAAACATGCAATACATTTTTACTGCAGAATTTGGACGTGTGTACAATGCAATACTATGAAAAAGAAAAAAAAAGGAAAAAAAAATTGAAATCAAATACATTGAAGGGGTAAATTTTAAATCTCTATTACACACACACACACACACGCGCGCGCGCGCGCGCGCACATATTCTACAACCTTAGAATTTACTTTTATAGCGTTTTAATTTTATTATTAGTAATTAAAGTACTTTGAGCATCCAACATCTATAGGATTATTATAATTTCAAAAATAATTATTACTAACAAAATATTTGTTTAAAGTTTTATATAAACATATAGACAATGAACATTCTATTAAGTACGGCTTATCTTGATGTAGTACAAAAATAATAATCTTTTCTCATTAGTTCATTACCATATTATTTTTTTAATAGTACAGTTGGAATTATAAAATATGTTAATTGTATTAGTTTAGTATTTGATCTTCAATAGATTTCTTATACGTCTTACTATAATGTATTTTGTATATTCGCGCAGCTGCGAAGTTTTGTATTGGAAAATAATTTCTGATAAAATGGACAAATTGCCTTAAGGAATAGAAATTCCACTTAAATCCTCAATTACAGAAAGTGCCGATTGGGAGAAAAAAAAAACATGAAGAAGAAGCCATGCAAATTCCCGCTTAACTGTGTAAGTTTATGCGCGCAGGGCTGCGTTACGGTCTTTTCCGACGGGTGCTGGTCACGTGTCCCATAAACATAGTACACTCGTGAAATCGTATATACTCCATGTACACAAAACACACACAAATATTTACTTACACATTTACGTTGCGGTCCTGCCCCGTATCATCTAACACGCGGCATTTCGGTCGCGCACGGTGTTGTTTAGGTTCATAGTACCAGTAAGAAGCTTCTTTACCAGCTGGATCATCTTGTGCAAGTCTGTAACCAACCCCAGGGGATAGATCACGCGACAAGAAAACACGTACGTTCTCATGCATGCCTGCCTGATTCTTGTTCTCTCTGTGTCTGTACGTCTGTGTTTGTCACTGTCGTCCGTTTATCTTAACGTTCCGCCTTTCCAGCTAAATTGCTAATCTCGCGTTTGTTTCACGCGCCTCACACATACACGCATCCCCCTACACGCATTTACATGGCACAATGAATGTTACTGCATGACCCTTCGCTTTCCCTCCTTGGTTTATGAAGTGATAGTATTTATTAACGTTGTTTGGTATATCCGTGTGTATATAAATGTTGTGGTTAGATATTAGTGGAAAATAAAAAATATATTTTTATTCTAGATGTACATACACATCGTTGCATGAAAATATAGTTGTATGGTTATTATGTTGAAAGGTTTGTTTAATATTACTTTTATTGCTCTGCATACTAAGAAAAAAATAGCCTATGATTTAAAATAATTAATCACTTTAGTACTATTTTTCAAAGTTATCGATGTCGATGCAAAATATATTTCCTATAATTTTTTATTTTAACCCTTTTTTCTATTCGATCTAGACAAATACAGTCTCAAGTACTTATTTATTACACTTCTTTTTTTGTTTTTACAGTAATTATTTTATTATTTGATTAATTCATTATTAAAACGTGCAAAATTTCTTAAATTAAGTTCTTATTAAAACTTATTAAAAGTGAATACACTTAAATTAAATTATTCAACTGTACGAGTACGAATTGGATATTGTTATTTTTCAAATTTTAACAAAATTACATTAATTGTTTCATCAGATATAAATTTCATATTGTAAAAATAGCGTTTATCATTATAAAGTAGTATAATTTTAAAATAAAAATCAATTGCATTAATAATGAACAATTATTACAATATCGAACAGAAATGAAATAATAACTTTATCTTCAATTTTATTTTTAGTAATCAGAACTTTGAGCATTATATCTGAATTAGATATAAGAGTTGATGAACAGGTCGTTTTAACTTCCATGCACACTTTGTATGCCCGTTTGTCTGGTCCTGTGATAAATTCTTTGTTCTTTTTTTAAAGGTATCTTGATCGTACAAATTTAATGCTTTTAAGAAGTTAACATGTCAACTCCTTAATTAGTAAACTTTGAGCAGTAGTTATAACTTTATTAAAACTTTTTCTGTTAAGTTTAATTTCCTTTCGTCCTTGCTATTTATAAAAACAATACTCTCAAGCACAGTAGTGGTAGACATTTGTTACATTGAGAATTAAACAAAAAAAATTTTTTCTTTTTTCAATATACCGTTTGTAAGGGTAATATTGTTCCTACGTAATTCTTGAATTTTTCCTGTTGTCTAATTTAATATTTACTTTTTTTTTTACTTAAAAATATGCTCCTACTTGTTCAAATATCTTTCAATAATAAACAATATATAACTATATATTGTGACGTATACTATATACACGACGATAGCATGTTCATCGCACCGGATAGAATCTAGACAAAACATCCGCAACTGCATCTTACTAAGAAGTAAAAGATCACTATAAAGGGAACTGATAATGGAAGTTACAAAAGGGCCAAGATTCCATTAAAGCAAGGATTTTTACCTTCTTTCATTAACCACGCGCTCGTTCCAAAAAGTACAATTTATAATTAATTTCTCTACTCTAACATTATAACGAAGAAATATTGATTTAATCAATTATCTTATTATTAATGGATGTTGAATTAAACTCTCGATGAATAATTTAATTATAATCTACGTGAAAAAATACATACCTAAACTTATACGTAACAATATATGTGTGTATGAACTGTTCGTATAAAAAATTCAATAAAATATCTCAGTCAGAATTAAAGAAATATAAATTATAAAATTAGAGAAACGATGAATTCAACGCTTAGTTGCATAAAGATTAAAAACCGATATCAAAATGATTTTAACAAAACGAGCAATATTTTTCAGTAAATGAAAGGAAATTGCATAATCTACAATGACAAGCAAAAAGGAAGTTTTTCAAAGTACAGTATCGGTCTATCGGTATAAGTATCTTTCACACATAAAAGGTGATCAGCAATAGTTCATAACATAATGAAAAAATAAAAATTAAAATTAAAAAAAAAAAAAACAGCACTTCCAATGACTTTTACCGATGGACCCAAATAATTGGATATTAAAATTGCCCATTGAACGGTATTAAACACTTACAAATACTCGCTATAAAACTAACCCGAGTTGTGTTTACGCGTCTTCCCTCGGCACCGATAAATAAAGCAGAGTCAAGACGGCCACGGAATGGATGGACGAGGTGGGATGAGTGGAAATCCAGCTGCGGACTACAGTGAGGGCGCCTCGCACGTGCTCGCAGTCATTCACCAGATACTGGGCCATCATCGGGCCCTCGAGGCTCGCTGGCACGCGAGGAAGATCAAGCTGCACCAGAGACTGGCTCTGAGGTGAGTTATTATTGCATTGAATTACACAAGAATTTAATGCGCTACTGGTACATTTAAAGGTCCGTCGGCGAGTAGTGGTTACGCTACTACTACACAAGCACTCGGTTGTGATTACATTACTTTTAAATCATTTGTCTAGAGAATGTGTTGTACGTATGTAAGATAAGGAAGCAAATGGACGTGTTTTTTGTTTATTGAGGAGTAGCAGGTGCATTGTACGCGGTTATGAATAAATTGAAATGGTAAAATGATTCGAGTTGTTAGATAGATATTCGTAAGCTTGTTTTTTTGGATAAGATAAATAGGACAGGACAAAATAGTTCATTGGGAAAATTATAAGTGATGCTAATACGGAAAGATAAGATAAATTTATTAACTAAAAATATTTTGTATATCTATATGCATTTTAAATAAGATAGATTCTCAGCTAAAATATGCATATATCTATATGCATTTTAAATAAGATAGATTCTCAGCTAAAATATGCATATATCTATATGCATTTTAAATAAGATAGATTCTCAGCAATTTTATTATAAACTTTTCTAATTAACTTTTATCCAGATTGTAATTGATATTACAGTTCTATGAGAACATTTCAATGATTACCGGGTATAATTGTTTTATTGTCTTTAAAATTAATATAAGAGTGTATAAAAATGTATGAATTTAATATTATGAATTTGTATAGATAAAATGTGACAGTCTCATTCATTTTGTTAATTTTGTATACAAGTTTGACCCCTTTAGATGCATAACTTATATCAGCCTGAAATTCTGTGTAACTTTCATCATACGTTTGTATATGCATAAAATCTTTGCATTACGTAATTGTTTAATATGAAATGTTTCAGAAAATCGTTTTATATTATATTCTTTATGAAACTTTTATCGTTCATGTGAAAAATTTATTTTAAATTCATGTCATGTATATATGTATACGCGAGAATTCATGCAATAAAGTTTTTTTAATTTTATTTTTTTCACTGTAAACTGTGAAGTACATTATTTTTAAGGAATCGCGTTTATTCGAGCCCTGTTTATCTTTAAAGATTTTCGAGTATTTTTAAACTTTACTTATCACCTCGTGGCTGCTCGTCAGATTGTTTCAAGAAGACGTCAAGCAGGTGTTGGACTGGCTTACGAACCACGGTGAGGTTTTCATCCGTAAGAACACGGGGGTCGGTCGTAATCTGCAAAAGGCTCGGGTATATCAGAAGAGTCACGAGCACTTTGAGAACGTTGCGCAGAATACTTACACGAATGCCTCGAAGTTGTTGACTGCGGCGGAGGAGCTCGCGCATACGGGCGAATGTGCCCCGGATGAGATATACGCGGTGGCCCAGGAACTCGAGGCTCACGTCAGTAGCTTTGCAGCGAGAGTCGAGCAGCGCAGACGTAGGCTAGATCTCGCAGTCGTCTTTTACACACACGAGAAAGAGGTAGGAATATGTTTTCGAAAAGTTATTTATGCGAATCGGTGAAAAGTCTTTAAATCTATGGACGTTCGAATGCTCGAATTCGATAATTGAATCAAGTATTTTGTAAAATATTACATCAAGAATGAAACGGACCAAGTGCGATTATACATATGGGATATTCTTTTAATATTTTTTAATCAAAAATTTGAAAATACGGAAAATTTATTGGAGATATGATACATTAAGCTCATTCTACATCTTACGGTTTAAAGTACACTTTGCATATGATATTTATATCTTTCTTCTTCTCAATAAATATTGCATAATTATGTGTCTTATCGTTGTATCATCACTTTATTAATTTATTTTTATTGAATATTATGCCCTCGATAGTGATTTAAAATCGACTTATTTGACTAAATTTTGATTCGTAGTCGACTATATGTGTATATAATGAGGTATTTCCTCTGAAACGGCGATAGATAAAAATACATAAAGTTATTGATTTAATTGTTTTACATTTATTCAAAGGATATGAAATTAAAACATAACATTATATATATATATATATATATATATATATATATATTATAATTAATTATATAATATGGATAAATATTAATTTTGATTTAAATTTGATTTAAATTTTTAAATAATATTTTACAATTAAAACATTCCTTTTTAATATTAATAGTTATTATTAATATTAATATTATACCTTTAAAAGTTGTATTTTAATTTAATCTTAAACGCTTTCTTTGCTAATAAATCGTATTCAATTTACAATATGCTAATTTAATTCAATAAAATACAATGATTGCACATTTTTAATTAATTTTAGTAACTTTTTTTACTTTATATTCTAACGTTTACAATAAGAACATGCATAATGGAATGAAGGATGTTGCGGTATAGACAACATTTCGTTCTTAAAAGAAATTTATGAAACCTACTTTATCGCTAAAGGTATAGGAGTCTTTAATTAAGAAAAAGTTCAATCTTCCTACCAGTGGGGAACATTCAGAAAAACTCATTTTGTTTTAACTCGACAAATGTAATTAAAGCATAGTATTTTTATATCATGTTTATTTCTAAATATTTAAACAAGAAAATAATTTATAAGAATTTAGTTTCACATGTTTTCTAGTATTTTCAATAAAGGACATTATTCATTTCGCATAATTTAGAAATTCTTATTATTGAATTTATTAATTTCACCACTTTCGAATAATTATAAACGTAATATAGGATAAAATTGATGATCAATAATTCTTGTATCAAATATGAATATTTATATTTGCGATGTTTATTTACGATTTATGTGTAACAACAAGTTCACGATAGTTGAAACTTAATCATTGATTTATAATTATTTGTCAATTACAACATAATGCTTAAATGTGTGCTCTAACTTATGTAAAAATAAACCAGTCTATCGCTTTATAAATATAAAAATAGTCAATTGCATTACCTATCCATAATTATTAAATTATACATTACGACATTATATGGGTTGTGATATTTATCAAATTGATAATTGATTTATTACTTAGTATTTATATTCATTACTTATTACTATCTCTTATTCATTACTTAGTACTATCTCTTTAATTAAGTTTACACGGACGATCATTTTCTTGCTTACTTATTGGATTTTAAATTTAATACGCGGATCAATTGATATTGGAAAAAAAGCAGAACGCACGCCGAAAAACGTTCCGTATTTTTTATGGGATCGCTTATGGTTTTAAACATAAATGTCTGCATGCGCAATCACGTCCCTTGATACTTTAGTACTGACAAATCTCCTTCTCATTCATCGGCCATAATTTTGCGCATTACAACTTCATTCACGCCTTCTCGTCTCCTTCCACAGCTGTCGGGTTGGGTCGATGAGCTCCGCCAGGAGCTGCAGCAGGATGAAGTCGCGGAAAGTCTGGAGACGGCCGAAAGGCTCCTAGAACAATGTGCCCAACATAGAACTTCCTGCCTCGAAGCGTGTGCCTCGACTATTGCCCAAGGTGAAGCACTGTTGCAAGAGTTGCGCGATTCCACTGAAATGCCCGACACCACCGGCTCCGTAAGTACACAAAGTTTACGTATTCTGTACGCGTTTTCAATTAAAGTTGCCAGTTTGTGCTGTTACGCTTGCGAGCTTTGTTTTCCATTAGCAAATAATACATCACCACTCGACGGTATTAAAATAAAATTAATACCTTCAATAGGGCTCTTATATGGGAAATTTATAAACTTTTGATCATCGAAACATTGGCCCGATTATTCTCGATATTTTAAAGTTTAATCTACTTGGAGCTTAGGATGAATCCAAATGAAAAAGTGTAGAGGAAGACTTTTACAGTGTACCTTATTTTTGTTTATGAAAGCAAACTACAAGATTTATTAGTGTCAATTATTAAAAGAAAAAACACAGGAAGAAAAAAAAGCTAATATAATCTTATTCATAAAATGACAATTGAAAAATATCGATTGAACTTTAAAAATGCAATTTTCTAAATAATCAAAGTGACCAAAAATAAAGATTCTCTATTTTCGCCTTTCAATAAATACTTTTGTGCATTATAATGATAATAGTTATTTCGAGGTAAATAATTTATTTTTAAATACATAAATGAGATGCATCGATTAAAAATAAACTTGATATCCATGCATTATTTTAAATAGTTGAGAAAATAAACACCGGTATAGTAGCTTCAGAAATTGAGCTTCTTCTCAACTCGTAGATTGCAGCGGTAGAAGCGGCTCTCGATAGACTATCAGGGTTGCGTCAGGAGCTTGAGGACCTGTGGGCGACGCGTAAACTTCGCCTCGAGCTGTGCCTACGATTGAGAGTATTCGAACGTGACGCCCTGGAAGCAAGCGGAGAGCTGGAAATGTGGGCACAAGAATTGCAGAATCCACCACGGGAAGGTTCGCCAGAACAGCTTCTTCGTGTTCATAATGATGGGGTTGCTCAGATGCAGAACACGGCATTCCAGGTGCTACAACAGGGCCAAGAGCTCGCACAGGTTTGTCATAATGCCCATTTGATCCTTTAATTTCAGCTCACTGTTCAATACGAATTAAATAATTAAATGACGAATATATTTTATAAGCTTGGAAATGCAAACTTTATACCGGATTTAAGAATTTTCATCATTCTATAAAATGAGAAGAATTCTATATGAGAAACTTTATTGGAGAATACATCTATCAATGTATTTTTGCCGTTTTTATATGCGTCGCCTATTTAATAGAACGTAGATAATTGCAGAATTTGTTGCGTATTGTTGTAGCGAGAAGTAAGCTTGATAAGCACTACCATGTATTTTCATATTTTCCAATGTGGTTATGAATGTTTAGAAGTTCAGTTTTAGAAAGGTACCTACACCTGTCAAGATTTTTTAAATCCCATGACAATCCCCGACTGCTCCTTGTACGTTCGTATGGTTTCATTAGATTCGGTATACCTAAAGTTCTGGATGAAATTTAAGTAATCTGGCTCGAGAAAGAGAAGAAAGTGTATGACGCATAGGATGGGGCAAATACGACGTTATTTTCTGCGACGTTTTTAGACACTTGAAAGTGGCGGGCATGGTTCACTTATCTCTCTCCGGCTTCTACATTTTTTCCCAATTTACAATTTTTAGAAAAATTAAAGTACATTAGTCACATTCATTTCTCTCTTTTCTCAATTTTTCTTTAATTTTTATTGTCGACGCAATCTTTATCTTGTATGCGCCGTCGTCATACTTGTTGTACACAGCCGTCGCGTGCATTACGAATAAGTCAAAAACGCCTTTCGAACAGCAGCGTGGACTTTATGAAAACGGCAGAGGTAAATACAAGAGGCAGAAGCAAAATTTATTGCGCCAGGGCCGCATATATTCAATGCACGTAATATTTCATTATAATTTAAAAAATTATATTAAAATATTAATATATTTAAAAGCTGTATCGCGAATAAAATATATTGTGAGTGTATGTATTAAATCATTATATAATTAATCGATGTGTTAAAATATAATATCCAGGATGATAAAAGAAAATGATTGATTATATTTTCCAAGCGATTTTATATATTTCTACAATGATTAATGTCTAGCATACTACTTATTTATACTTATTGTTGTTGTTGTTTCCAATATTTATTGAAAAATTAACTGTTTTATAATTAAAATTTTATTTTTAAATTATATCGTATTAATAAAATAATCAAAAAGAAAAGAATGTATCCATATTGCACTGTATGTATTTAATAGTATGACTTTACATGATATTGTAATCATCGCACCTATTAAACCTCTTATTAATTCGATAAGGAATAATGTCGCTGATTTTTATGGCATTAAAAAACGTATACATTCATTAAACAGGTTAATTATGTATTCATATTTGTTAAAAAGGAATTTCTTTTACCGAATGCAGGTTCTCGATCAGGCGGGGGTTTGCATTATGGCCGACGGTCAGCATACGGCGTCGAATCGCGTTCAGATTCTCTTGGAGTTTTTAAATGAACGCGAGATGGATGCGGAAGATCTGGCGGAGATGAGACGTGTACGACTCGAGCAATCGGCCCAGTTGGTGCAGCTGCAGCAGGATGCGACACATGTCGCCAATTGGATCAGGAATGGTGAGACGATGCTACTGGCTTCGTTGCGTATACCGGAAAATCTCCAAGACGCCGAGCAATTGAGACACGAACACGAGCAGTTTCAAGTTGCAATTGAGAAAACCCATACGTCAGCCGTGCAGGTTCGTTCATATGTCAGTTAGAATTCTTTTTTTCATCTATTTTTATTATCAAAATCATTCTTCAAGCTTATTATTTCAATGTTTAATCATAATTGCTAACGCAACTCAGTAACATTAATCAGTTTTATGCTTTCAATTTAAATTAAAAGGGAAAGTAATGTATTTTTATTTACAATGCGATGAAAGATCTTTAAAAAAAAAAACTGAAAATACTATCGCTACGGTTTCATAGATTTTAGTTCATTCGTGCGCGCGTGCACAGAGAGAGAGAGAGAGAGAGAGAGAAAGAGTTTATTTGAAACCAATATTTAATTTAGCTTATTTTTTACGTTGTACTTAAAAATATGGTATGTTATCGATGTTTCTACATTCAAAATGCTTACAATCAAAATATTTTTAATATAAGTATTGCAAATATAATAAAAATATTTAAATTTTTTAATAATTGAAAAAATTCTTTTATCCGAAATTTAATTTATGCACTTAATGGAATATAAAAAACGCTATTCTTTAATGTATAATGATAAAATGTGAATATAAAAATAAGATAATAGATAAAGAGTATTTAATATTTAGAAATGTTTGTTTTTTTCTGCAATGAAAATTATAAAAATAATAGGAAGAAAACAAACAGAGCGGATAGTTTTAAAATAAAAAATTAATGTTTATACTTTACTATATTTAACTATATTTAAGCATAATACATATAATTTATTAAAATCTGAATAGATCATTTTCAATGAATCATATTCTTAATATTTTTATCTGGTATCTGTATTTTCATAAATAATATTAGAGGTGGTTTTGGGAATGGTTCCGTAAATCCCGGTCTATAACCGACAAAGAAAAGCTAACAATGATATGAGATTATGCGTCTGTCATTTAAAGTAAAGACAAGATGGTAACTGAACTGTAGAGACAGGAAACCTTAAATTTAAGTTCTACGTGGTCTTTGAGCCTTGACGCTATCTTATGAATTCGAGAATAGTAAAACCTTCTTTCTTTTTTTAATCTTGTAAACGGTTAAAAGAATAATTAATTAATTTATAATAATGTAAATATTTATTATATTTCCCTGCAGTGATTCTATAATTTCAGAAGATATATTTTTCTTAACGGTTATTTAAAATATTTTGATACGTGCCATGCGATACAACAACGATAAATATATAGACGATTCGCTATTCTCGTTCAAAATTTCCTTCTCTTCATTTCCTTATCAGAAAGTCTAATACTTTACGAATCCATTGGCTATTATCGTTATACATTGGTATAAAAACTTTCGCTCCAACTAACTAGGTTTTATACAAATGCATTGTGCTGGGTTTATAGGTGAAGCACAGAGCGGACGCACTGGTGAGCGCCAACCACTACGACCCGAAGAGCATACGTGACGTAGCTGAAGACGTGACGAAGAGGTGGCAGCAGTTGGTGACGTGCGCGGAAGAGAGGCATAAGCTCGTTACCGCAAGCATAAACTTTTACAAGACAGCGGAACAGGTGAGAGAGCACTTTTTTTTATTGCACGTTTTTATAGAGCAGAGCAACTCTTGTGTGAAACACACTACGATATACCATTCAGCGATTTATCTCGGGAAAGCTCGATGTCCTCGATTTTTTAATATTTTGAGTTGGTGTATATGTTTTTCATTTAAAATAAAAAACAAAACAAAACAAAAAAAAAACAAAAAAAAAAGATTTCTTCTTAAATTAACTAGTACGATTAATATCGTAAATACGGTTTGTACAATTTTATTAAAGTTAATTGTTAGTATTTATGATTTTTATTTTATTTTATTTATAAATATAAATCTAACTGAAATCAATGAGCTATTAGTATTCATCGAAAGATACAACAGACTTTGTAATGCTATAAATTGAAATACATAAACGCATTGTACACGTAATTCTATTATTGTTGTTGCATATTGATGTAGCCGAACGTATACTTTTGTTAATTGCGTCATTTATCTTCTTGTTTATTATTTTAAGCGTATTATGTACAATTTTTATTGCAATCCATTGAAATTTATTATATAAACTGTATTTATGTATCGCACAGTAATTTTTACAATCACATTTGAGATAATTTATGAGTATTATTTAATACGTTTGTGAATTGTTCAGGTGCGTTCGGTTCTGGACAGCCTCGAGCGTGAGTACAAGCGCGATGAGGACTGGTGTATGGGTGGCGAAAAAGCAAGTCAAGTACCAACGTTAGTGAGCAAACATCAGGAACAGAAGGAGGCATTCCTTAAAGCGTGCACTTTGGTGAGGCGGACAGCGGAGACATTCCTCAAGTACACCAATCGTAGCTTACAGTTTTACAGTTATCAGATCACTGGTGCTACTTCCGAAAATAAAGTCAAAAGTTAGTATAATTGCATCACCTTCGAAATACTTATCTTTACTCCTTATTCTCAAAAATTTCAAAGATTTTAATTGTCTATTTAGACTACTAAAAATTAGTTGCAATTTCTTTTTATAGAAATATATTTCATTAAACGAGAAATGATTCATTAAAAAAATATTATATTGTATAATACATATAGTTTTTTATTTAAGTAAGTTTAATTCTGTAAATTGTCTGCAATGGAAAATCAAAAAAAGTTCTATTAACAAGCATTTTTATTATTTTAATTCCATAATGTATTATATATAATTCAATGTTTCATCACGACATTTCAGATTTCACAAGTGTTTAATATTTGTTTTCAAAAATAATATAATTCGATCGGATATTACATTATTAATATAAAATTAATTTTATATACAGTTATGAACACAATGTTTTCACAATGTTAATATAATTATTTCTTAAGTAATTGAAACTTTTAACAACAATATACATTGTATAAAAAAATAAAATATTCAATTTATCATATAACTTGGCAATCAACAACATAATAAATTAACAGGCATTCTGGAAGAACTTCTGAGTAAGGAGAACAAAGTCCTTGAATACTGGACTCAACGTAAAAAGCGGCTGGACCAATGCCATCAGTATGTATTATTTGAACGTAGTGCCAAACAGGCTCTCGAGTGGATCAGTGAAACCGGCGAACTTTATCTTGTTACACACGCCAGTGCGGGTCGAAATCGCGCTGAGAATGAACAATTACTTCATGAACATGATTTTAAGGGAGCAGCTAAGGTGACATATAGCCGGAGAGTATGAACAAATAACTGAATATTTTTAATGAAAACTATAAATTCATTTAGGGTTAATGTTGATTTAATTGGAAATATGTTGCAATGTTTCAAAAACAATTTTCTAGATATATATTTGACTTTTATTCATTTCATATGTACTACAAAATTTTATTTATAAAATTCCATTATTTTATCTATAATGTATAGTAAATGTTAACAATTTGACTTTATATTTATAAGCGAGGTTTTATTTTATTTATCATTTAGTTCTTCTTAGAGTGATGAATTGATAAGCGAATATAAAAAAGTAATTGTCGAATTTAACTTTAATCAACTTGAATTTTACTGTAAAATCGTTTAAGAAGAATACTTATATAAAAAATTTAGTATATTCATTTTACGAGTCGAAATTTAATAGAATTTTTCTAGGGTTTTATATTCTTTTATTAAATGTGGAATAAACTATATTAAATTTATATGAAATGGAAGCAAATTTGAATTAAAATAAAAATTAAAAATACAAACATAGAAGTATTCTTATTTTTAATTTTAATATATAGATTAAATTTGATTGAAATCAAAATATTTTTTATTTATAAAATAATTTTAAAATGTTTAACACAATTATGCCTGTAATCTCTGCAAAATAAATAGAACGAGAATGGTGCAGCAGTGTTTTATTTTAGTAACGCGAGAGCTGGCACAAATGTTAGAATCATATTGAAATCTCTGCCAAATCGTTGAAACAAGCAATCTTTTTTGGAAGAAGCATTATTACTTCTTCTCTCTCTCTCTCTCTCTCTCTCTCTCTCTCTCTCTCTCGCTTTCCCTCTCTTATGATGTGACATTGTTGCACCACACTCTATTCTTGAAATTTTCAGATTGTTAATTTTTGGTGGTTAATCGCTATCGTTGCAGGCAAAAATGAAACTAATCATTTTTCATCCGTGGAATATTTCATTTCATTATTTTTTAAAGTGACTCGTCGTAATTAGTAAAATATGAGTTTATATTTACGTTTTTATATTTAGAAAATATTATTAATGTATTTTTATATTTCAAACAAACTAATAAATAAACATAAATGCTAATATATTCCTTATATATATATTAATATAATAATAATGGGGATTTCCAACATTGATTCCAATTATGTCAGTAAGTTTAATATTATCGTCTTGAAGATTATATTAATTTTAGAGTATTTAAAATGACTTATTTAATAATTAATTCGGTATAATACAATACATCTTCATAAATGTATTATTCTATTTACTACAACTATAATGAATTTTTGCATTACACATGAAAGTAATATTTTATTGTTCCTTATAATATTTAATTCAAACATTTTTATAAATGCTATAATATTATTCAGTAACATTTTTATTTATAGATATTATTACTATTTTTCAGGAAACTCGTGAAAGAGTCAAACTTTTAATTCAATTGGCCGATAATCTTGTGGAAAAAGGCCATGCTCATGCAACAGCAATTAAACAGTCGGTTGCTGAAGTGGACCAGAGATACAAGGACTTTAGTATGCGACTCGACTGTTATAAAGCGACAATAGAGGATGATCTTGGAATACAGTCGGATGAAGGACCGAAGGAAATAACAATCGATAGGAATTCCGATCCGCTTTTAGAAGAGAAAATCAAGGGAAAAGATATAAAAGAGCTGAATGAAGAAAAACGTAGATCTGCTAGACGGAAAGAGTAAGTTTTCAATATTTTTCTACACTAAATATCTGTTTAACGTTATTTTGTATTTACACTTAGATTGTTCTTTAAATCCTTATCGTGCAATTATATATAGGAAAATAAATATCCTCTAAACCAGGTTTATATATAAAGTTTAGAAATCAATTGATAATGAGTTTTTTCAGATGTTACAATTATTTTTTACTAATAAAGCATTTTATCCCTATTTAATATATTCTGTTCGAAAGAATGTTTGAAAATTTTGAATGCTAATACAAAATAAATATTCTTACAATAATACCAGATATATTTGTTTTGCAGGTTTATAATGGCTGAACTGTTGCAAACGGAAAGAACTTATGTTAAGGATTTAGAAACTTGCATCAAATGTTTTCTTGATGAAACGAGACAAGGTAAAAATAATGTACCTCAAGGTCTTCAAGGTCGTGAATCAATCATATTTAGCAACATGGAAGAAATTCATCGGTTTCATTGTGACATTTTTCTTCGTGAATTAGAAAAATACGAGACAATGCCAGAAGATGTCGGTCATTGTTTTGTTACATGGGTAATTTATCGATATTATAATATTTTATTTCAAAACAAATATGAAATCAAATATATTGCAATTAATTACATAAAGAATCATAACTAATTATAATCGACTTGCAAGAATAGATATTTTTAAAAAATCAGATGACTTTAGTTATCTAAAATGGTCGAGACGCTTTTAATTTATGATTTATTAAAAAATATAATGTTTGTCTTCATGAGCCTCAGTTGTTATAATTATTGATTGATATATTTTCCATTTAAGGATCTTAATTTCAATTAATATAAAATAATCGTATTTACAATTTAGTATTTTAAATTTTAAGAAATTAAATAGTATAAAATAATTATATATATGTATATGTATATGTGTATATATATATATATATATATATGTGTGTGTGTGTGTATATACAATGAATGAGGGTTTAATAATATATATTTTTTTTAACTTTTGACTTTCAATATTTTAGGCCGCTAAATTTGATATGTACGTTACGTACTGCAAAAATAAACCAGAAAGCAATCAGTTGTTAGTTACACATAGCGGTACATGGTTTGAAGATTTACAAAGAAGACACAGAGTTGAGCATCCAATCGCAGCTTATTTAATTAAACCTGTGCAGAGAATTACAAAATATCAGCTTTTACTTAAAGACCTACAGGTACGTAATTCTTGATCAATAAGTTTTTAAGGCAAATTTGATGTATTAATATGTTAATGCATTAATTAAAATATTTGTATATAATGCCTATTATATACAAATATACCATATTATAATATTTGTATATAATAAATATAAATATTTCGACGAAAATTGAAAATAAATATATATATTTTTTCTTAAGCAATTTCAAATAAAAAGGAATTATTATCTAGTAAATAAAATTTTGAAAAAAATTTTTGAATACAAAATTTTTAAACTAATTTATCTAAAAAACTCATGAAATTTTTTGAAAAATTGACTCAATATTATTAGAATCCAGTGTTGTTTTAAAATTCTTAATAAAATATTTTTAATATTAATATTTATTTGCTTAGGCCTGTTGCCAGGAAGGTCAAGGAGAAATCAAAGATGGTCTGGAAGTTATGCTGAATGTGCCTAAAAAAGCAAACGATGCCTTACATTTGAGTATGTTAGAAGGCTGTGATGTCAGAATAGATACACTTGGTGATGTAGTTTTACAGGATCCTTTCACAGTTTGGGATCCCAAGCAATTAATAAGAAAAGGTAGAGAGAGACACATTTTCCTTTTCGAGCTGTATTTACTCTTCAGTAAAGAAGTTAAGGATTCTGCTGGCAAAGTTTGTATTTTTCTTTTTTTTAATTCATATCTTCATAAAAATTTACTAATTTAACAGAATATATGAAATAGTTCAACGTTTTTATATAGATCTGTTTTTCAATTTTGCAAAATCAGTTTTGCATTGGAAATCTATTTAATCAAATCTAGTTCAAAGTATGATTTAAAATGTTTAACAACTGTATATTTATTATTCTGTATTATGTTCTGATATACAGTGAAAGCTACAATTAATATATTTTTATTGTTAATAAATAAATACAGTGAATTGAATGTCGTAATACCTTCTTTATCAATTGTATATCTATGAAGGCAGATTTACTGGTGATAACATATTCCCGATTATTTCTTCATTTATCAATTCAGAATTTTCACCTTGGAATTTATGTCTCTGAAATATTAAACGTTGATGTTTTTTATATATTCATTTATATCACAATTTATTTTTATTATTAGTTATTTTCTAAAATAAGTATATCTTCATTTTTGTTTTGTATTCGATTCATTTTTTTGTAGCATTCATTATTTATTTATAAACGAGAAGTGTATGAATTCTTAATTAAATTTAAATATTTTAATTGTAAAAATCGACGTAACATTCAATAAATAAATTTGCTTTCAAATAATGTATTTCTTGTCAATTTATAATGTATAATACAATCTAGATAAAGAAGAATGGTTTATAATTAAATCATTGTGTACGCGAAAATAGTACAATATACTATGACTACTGAAGTGTTCAATTGGAAATATTTTCATGTATTGTAGGTGAAGTACATATATAAAAGTCGCTTAATGACATCAGAGCTCGGTGTAACAGAGCACATCGAAGGTGATGAATGCAAATTTGCGGTTTGGACGGGCAGAGCGCCGACGAGCGATACACGTGTCGTTTTGCGCTCTAACTCCTTAGAGTCGAAGCAGCTATGGGTGAAACGACTTCGTGAAGTTATTCAAGAGACGTACTTTAGTCTGAGCATGCCCAAGAGCCCGGCGAAGAAGAGCTCGAGTCAACGGTCAAGTAGGGATCTCGAGGAGTGTGCTTCGCTCGACGATAGTGTAGAAAATCTGGATAGAAATTCACTTGCGTCCTTCGGATCTACAAATACTACCGATTCTGATAAGGTAAGGATTTTCAATATTTTCTAATTAGAATAAATTAGAAATGCAGTATTTACGAAAAAATATTTGAACAATAGTTACCGAGTTGCTGAAAATTTAATTTTCTAAAAATTGAAATTCTTCTTATATTCAATTTTTATATTATTTACAATTAAAATAATTGCTTGTTTTATCTGGAACAGATTATGTTGAAATTCAAGAAAGTTATTATTTTTTTACTAATTTTATTATCTATTCCTGTAGAATATTTTATCAAATGTTTATATATTAAGTAAAATTTTTGATAAATATTGTGAATCCAACATCTATTTAAATTATTCTTGCCATATTATTTTAATGTTGCAATGAAATTTGCATAATAATATGAATTTTAACTAATTGTTCCTTTCGTGAAATTAGAAAAAAAAAATATTCTGGAAAAAATTATTCTTCCTTATTAAAGGAGAAAAGTTACGGTAATGGTTTCAAATAATTGAAATCGTTAAATTAGCTTGCAAAGTTTCATCTTAAATTTATCACGAGTAAACTGTAGAAGATTTAATTATTATGATTTTATATTTTATAATCTTCAATTTTTTAATGAAATCCTATATATACAAAGTTAGTCCAATGTATCATGCACATAATAATATTAAGATAATTAAATGTTATCAACAATCCTTTATATTTGAAAATTCTTTATATTTTATTCATAATGTTCATTTAACGTACGACTAATATATCTTATTTTATGGTATATATAACAAACCACTAATGTTCTATGTTTTATGGTAACTTCATTATTGATCTGTCAATTAATTTAATTTTTATCTATGTATTTTAATGGTGATTTTTCATTTCACAATATCCAAAATAATTAATAATCATCATTCTTTAGTACAGTATTACGTTACATAATTTATTCTACACAACTATATAATTTTCTTAGTTATTTTAATGTTTTAAATATATTTTTATATTTAATTAAACTAGGAATAGAAATAGTTGAATTTTAAACAAGTACATTATAGATAAAATCGGATAAACATTAATAACAATAGTTCGTCACAAATCTACATAAATGAAGCAATCGACTATAATCAACAGAAAATTAAAATAATACTTGGAAAGATCTATACAACGCTTATATTTTAGCATTTTTATGTATTTGTTATGAGATAGTAGTATTTAAAAAAGAAATAAAACATGCTTGATAATACCTCTTGTTTTGTCTTCTACTAAATAAATAATAACGATATCCAAGAGGCTACAATTTGCTTGTTACATTAGAACCGATTGGATCAGTAATAATAAATTGATAAAATAAAATAATTGAATCTGGATAAAGACGATAATTTCTCTTGGGTTAAGAATGGTTTAAAATGATTATTGATGTATGCGCACGTGCGGGCATATGCGTGTGTGTTGTCATTAAAAAGGCATTTGTGTATGCATCTACTCCATAATTTCGATATTACCATTAGCTTTACAAATTTTAATTACTTAATGCATATTAATAATATCATATATTTAGTTTATTTATGCAGTAATTTTCACTAACAACCAATTATTATCGATTAAAAAAAAAACAGTAGCCTGTATTTTTGTTCATTCTTGAAAAACGACAGATACTTCATTCCAAAAACTGTATTAAAAGATAATTATCTTGCTAAATGTAAGTTAAATGTAATATACGTCAATTTATGGCAATAAATAAAGACAGGATTGATATTAAAATTACCCAGTTTGCATACAAATACTGATACAAAAATAGTATTAATACATTGTCATTGATAATATATTCGAAGATATGCTTTTCATTGTAATTTTACATCACATAATATACATGTATTTATTTATATTAATTTATGAAATATTGTTCTTATGTCCTTCAAGATCAGTCGTATAAAACATTGTTTGCATTAAGAAATTTGTTATTAATGCATTAAAAAAATTTGAATTGAATAATTTGAAAATATGTGATTGAATAATTTGCTCTAAACTATTGATCACGAAATAATTCATTATATTTATCCGATATAGTTATAATTAGTTTTCTTTAACGAATTCTTAATATTTATTGAAACAATGATTTCTAAAAATGCTACCAATTCTTTTATTTCTTCAATTACTGTGTATTATTAGGCAAATAAAAAAAAATTTCTCGATAAATACAAGTATGAATATTTTTAAATGTATAACAAATAATTGATGAAAGCCGAAGTATGTGGGAATTTTTTTTTAGGGTTTCGTATAATTTAGCTAAAACTGAATTATCTTAATGTCCCATATACATCACTGTAACGTTAATGCAATATACATGGGAGATCGTTAATCCGAGTTAAAAATTGAATTGCGTAAAGGGTTTTACACTGACGCTAAAAGAACAAGATTTAAATGAGATGCACCGCGGAGCTTTGAGTGAGGGTCACATATGATTGAAAGAGAAATGATTAGTTCCTTAGTTCGGAAATAGGAAGATCCGACCAGGAAATGTCTCGGTAGTTCAGTTCTACGTTCTCACATTGATTCTCAGGTCAATCATTTGTCTGCCTCGATCAATTCGGATACTAGCAAGTCATCATATTTACAGCGAACGTGAGACGTTATCTCGCGATAGTAATAATAATGTAGCTGTTTCCGTACACAATATTTCAGTGATATGTGAGGGCGGGTACACTGGAAATTCAAGTCGAAGGAAATCGAAGAAATAAAGGCGAGCTTAAAAGTGCCGGTAGGTAGTAGTCCGTCATACCCTTCTACTATTTTGTGGGTGAAATAGTTTGACGGGTACTTGTCCGATAAATTAGGACTATGTAATCATTATCCGTTGCGATATTTTATCGACAAATAATGTCGAATGTTATCGGACCCCTTGGAAACTCGTTGTACGTACATAGTGCCTACAACGGTCATCGACGATGCAGTTCCCACAATAGTTAATGCAAGCTTGCGCGTAACCACAATTCCACATTGCCTCTTGCTCACGCGTAGGCTCGTACACATTAACGCGAGGTCGGTCAAGATGTTAATTTAATACAGATATTCCTGCGATTTAATTGCTCATACTGTATTGGAAAACGCGTCCCTCGTTGGCCGAAAGTTGTTGAATATGGGTCACTAAATAGATAATATCAAGCGATAAACTCGCTGGAACTGGTCTGTCTCTCTACACGCACATCTCTTCAACACCTGAGTCTCACAACTCACTCACAACTCAGCCGTACGCCCATGCATATACTATAATTTATGTGTATGTTGAAAATATTCAACCACTAGCATATGAATGTATCCCCCGACCCGTATTTATCCTGAACTTCTGTACACACGTGGACGTGTGGTTTCAAGTTTGACAGTTTGTGTGCTTGTATTTTATTAGTAATATGGACAAGGAGGGATTGCAACAACGTTTTGAACGTATCAATTAACGAGTTAGGATTTGCGCGCGAGCATAGCTCATTTGTTAAAAATTGAAAAACTATGTAATCCTAAGTATGCTTTAGAGCGCGATAAATTGTTTATAATCTAAATCACGCACACATACTTATTTGTTATATTCGAACTATTTATCATTAATGCATTAATGAAATTGCGCAAAGACGCCAATGTTGTGTGAGACGCTATTAGTGTCTTAAAAAATAACAAAAATTATGCACATAATGCCGTGGGAAAAGGAAATTTATATTCCGAGCTTTGGTGGATTGATGTGGGTGGTGGAGAGCGAGCTTGGCGATGTAATAAAAAGGCATTTATGGCGAATAAAATTTTGATACAACGAATGACAGCGACAACTACGACGTGTACTTAAGTATAGGATGCCGCATTGACTCCCTATCCTGCTCGACCACAGGTTTCATCCACCTCCCACCCTTTTCACTAATTTCTCGAGCATGCGTTTCTAGCTTATATTAGGGGAGCCACAAGAGCGAGGCAGCGCGAGTAAGCACTGCGGGAGGGGAAGAGAGACGATTGCGCGCGATTCGCTAACGATAATGATGGCAGTCCTGGTGGGGGCTGAGCGCCCGAGAGGTGCGTATCGTTCAAGAGTACGAATACGTACACGCGCGTGCGTATGAGTGAACGTAGGTGCGCGAGCAGACGGAGTTGTTGAGTACTGCTGCAACCACCACCGTCTACGGCAGTACGGACGCGACTCTCGACGGGTCTCGCGGCCGGACTCTCCAGCTTCTGTCTCTCTCTCTCTCTCTCTCTCTCTCTCTCTCTCTCTCTCTCTCTCTCTCTCTCTCTCTCTCTCTCTCTCTCTCTCTCTCTCTCTCTCTCTCTCTCTCTCTCTCTCTCTCTCTCTCTCTATCTATCTACCTATCTATTCATCCATCTATCCTTCTATCCATCCATCCATCCATCCATCCATCCATCCATCCATCCAGCCATCCATCCATCCATCCATCTATCTATCTATCTATCTATCTCCTCCTCCTTCTCTCCTTCTCCTCTTCCTCTTCCTCCTCCTTCTCCTCTTCCTTCTCCCGCTCCTCATCCTCGTCCTCCTCATCTTATCTCCTTCTCCAATCACGCTCGCTTTACTCTCGGTCGTCTTTGTCTCTCATGGTACTCGACGGGTTACGCGTGCACGTACGCTTTCTGTCCTCGAGCACGGAGACGAGTCAACTTTGCACTTCACGCCGGAACATCGTGGACCCTAAGGGGCAGAAGAAGGAGAGAGGGAGAGAAGCGCGCACGGTTTTCGGAAACCGTTGCGCGACACTTGCGTGTTGTTGCACGTTAGATCGCGGATGGAGAGAGCCAGTGATATCGCTATTCGTATTTGAGGGATCGCAAGCGCGCGCATGTAAACGTGTCGTCCGAGCTGTCCGTCCTTTGGTCAATGCGTAAGGAGGAAGGAAGCAGCAGCGGTGGAGGAAGAAGAAGAAGAAGAAAAAGAAGAAGAAGAAGGAGACGAAGAAGGGAGAATACGATATTTAGTCATAAGCGGGGTGTCGTTGCGCGCCAGTTGTTAGAAATATGTTGCCGATATCCCGATACGAGACGAGCGTGCAAACGTA